TCTCTCCGTGACAAATATGCAATTGGATGGCACTGTCCCAGGTGGTTGCGCCATCTATTTAGAAACTTAGTAGTGAAAAAATCTTTTCCCCGAAAAACTTTTGTTGAACACACACACCCCTTACTTTTTCAACGTTTTGATGACCGAAATGTCCAGTCCCGGAAGAAGGGATTTAAATTAAAAATGGGGTAGATGGCGCAATTTGGCCCATTTTGCACATGTAGGGTTGCGCCATCTTCGGGCACATTTGCTGTTTCGGGTACATATTGGATTGAATTTGTTCACTACTAAATAGATGGCGCAACCACCTCTGAGAAAGTAGGTCAGAGCCATGCACTTTGAATATAGAGTATATCCTTCAAGGATATACTGTTTGGGGCATCCTTGCTAACATCGTCGCATCCCGCATGCGCATGCGCAAGCTCGATTGCGGATCTCAACTTTATGGGTTCTTTTGCTCACGTGCCACAAAAGCCATGTGTGAGACACTGATGTTTCCTGGTTCACCAGATTAGAAGGGGAGGACATAAGCCATGGAGGGCAAGAGACGAGGGTGGAGGGAGCAAAAAGATGAGCTTGAGTTTCAGACTACCGTACCGTATACGAAGAATAGATTGGCAGAGACGGGTGGGGACATATCCGCACAATTTTTGGTCCAGGAAGACAACGGGAAGATGCCGACGAGAGACAGATGAGGACAGTCCACCAACGGATGTTCCACAACAGAGAAGTCCCGCAAATGCTTGTGATATTCTGCTCACATCTCACCACTTGTCTGCCTCGCCCAAACGCCAGGTGTCAGGCGGAGGGCCTGAGACGGTGTCAGGGAGCCCACATGGAGAGTCAAACCATGGGCTTACTCCATGGATGTTTACACTGAGCCAATCCACAGAATATCACCTTAATGGATCTGTTGACTTCCGAAAAAAAAATGACTTTCAATTGTCACTGAGATCGCATGGACCTGGCGGTGACCTTTTTGTGCTTTCGCTAGTGTGGAGCCTTCACGGAGCTAATCTGGCCCTACAAAAATCAATAATATACATTTGGGTGAATTGCCTTTCAAAGGTTCGTCTGAATAAACACAGGGGGTGAGAAGCCCTAAATCGACTAGCCAACATCGACACTACGTTTGTAGAGTCCATTAGCTAGTGGGAAAAATCGCGCATCCAGTCTACTCAGCTTGAAGGAGAAGATGGCGCAGCCAGGTCAGTGAGCCAGTGCCGCATGATGACAGCATCATGTAAATAGCAGCTAGATCTTGACTAGGATCCTGGAATCTGGAAATTACTTGACTTAGATGTTTGAACCCTGTCTTGAAATTCAGGATAATGGCCTGGAAAAATCACTAGTGGTGGCAAGAACCTCCATGAATTTAAATCATGGCTGTATGGACCAGTGAAAAAGGGTAGCAGGGCGAGTTATCACAAAACCAATTGGATTTTGAAGAAAGAGTCCTGCGTTTGGTCGTCAGTCTGTTCAAACCCAACTGATGAAGTTTGACAAAACTTTGTAGCGACCGGTGGTCCTTCTCCTGAGAGATTTCATGGAAACCATCAAATATCATAGGCGCTTCCATGAGCAAGCAACAGCCCTGTTCGAAAGGACAAAAGAAACAGTAACTACAGAAACTCCGAAACTACTAAACCAATTTCACCAACCAACATGCTCTCATTGCTCCTTCTCGAACTGTTGTTTCTTCTGTCTGAAGAAAACACAAATGCAAAAAACAATTACAGACTTGTAGAAATGCAGCAGCGTATCTTTTCTGTTGCCATACTCGGAACTTACAGCCATTTAGTGAACCTTTGAACCTCTTCACTTCTGTCTTCAGATCACTGCCTCAAACCCTGATAGCTCTTTGATTGACACCATGAACCCCTCGATTGACACCATGAACCCCTCGCTATCACTCGCTGCATAAACTTTGCATCCTCCAAGACAGTGGAAACTAGTTGAAAACATGATATCTACATCCTCATTCGGCGACCCCAAGAAATGCTGAGTCACATCAGTACCATGGTCACCGGGTCTGGTCGGACCCAATCTTTAATAGTAATTCATATCAAATCTTGTTGACAGCGTGAGCTAGTCGTAGGCTTTCAGACCCTATATGTGATAGGTGCATCATCAGACCATGTTCGGCTATCCTTCAGGATCCTTCAGGTAAAACATGGTAAAGCTACGTGAGTCTCACATCTGGCACTTCACAAGATCTGCAAAGTGCAAGCGCCAAACTCCTGGACCCAAAGTGCCGTGCAACCCACGAGGGCTTGGTCCATGATTAAAAATCGATGCCCACGTCGTTGCAAAGCTGACTCCACGAAGCTAATTGTTTCGACGCAGCTACTAAACACGCTAGTCATAGTCACTAGTCATCAGCAATTGCTCCGAGAATCAGTGTACACTTACAGTTTTCTATGTTTTCTTAGCTGTAGCTGCTTGGGGCACAAATATGTTTTCCTTGTTCCACTATCTTGTCCTCCACATGCCGCAACACACCACTCAAACCACAGAAAACAAAACAAACACCACACTCACCCTAGGCAAAAAGGATTTAGGAAAGTACCCCGCTCAACAATGGCACCTGCCGACCACCCTTCAGTGCGGCCGCTTTTACCGTTGCCTGCGAAAGTGGGCCGTCAACTTCAATTACTGAGACCTGGACCCAGCCTACCCTAAGGCCACAAGGAACGCTGGCGCAAGAAGGTTACCACAAAATTGAGCTCACCACTCCACCCCCGAAATTGTGCATTGCAAAGAGTGCTCCCTGCTTGGTGTTTTGGAACGTGGCATGGACTCCTGGACCATGCATGCCCACATCTTCGAGACCGTGGATTAAGCGCGCGTAAAATTGGGTCACTAATAGCGAAAAAGCTGGAGTCACTAAGAGCGCAAGCATTTATACGCTATTATATAGTAGTTTTTATACGCTAGTAGTACACAGTCTTCAAAAATAATTTAAGGTTATGAAGATTGAAGTGCGTTGCGATAGACCATTGATCCCTTTTGAAGTACAAATGAGTACAAATCCTACCAAAGCACCAGATTTCCGGACATTCATGGACCGTGGGAACACTTGCATCACCACCAATTACAGCGCCAAGTAATGTGTGATACGGATTATATGTGGAATATGCTGGGTTCCTCTTTCAAAAACCTCAGCCGCGAGCCCATCCAGCGTCCAGCATCCATCTCTACCGCTGCAGCTACACTGAAATGACTCTCTTGGAGAGTAGCTCAGGCTGCTGAGCCAACTGCTGGAGAGAAGGGTCCAAGCAAACATCATTTGGTGCTAGAGTTCTAGGTTTTCCCGGAACGGGAGCTGATTTCTTGAACTAACGAAATGTTTTAAAAGTCATGATCTAAGCCTCTTCAGCTCATCTTATTCCACAGCAATTGGCATGGGAAAACCTGCAGTATGCAGACTTTTGTCGCCCTGGTCGCCCTGTGCAACAGGGCTTTGCTGTCCCCATGAAGCACGCGGGTGCCGACCACCAGAAGCAGCGGTCCACGTGTGGCAGCTCTGACGGTTCCTGCACCTGACTCACAGGTGCTGCCATTGTACATTCTACAGTAACTATTGTAAAGCATCAATCGCATGTTCGATTTAGATGCATGTAGATTCTATGCAGGTCGTCGGTCATGGCAATGTTTGCAAATCATCCTGCAAAAAAGTATACATGAGTATACCAAGGTCTCATACGTCAGCTGGACCAAGTGAAGTTTTGGTTGAAAATCAGTTAAGAAGTGGCATTGGCCGCATGGCAGACCCGCATGGCATTGGTTGAGTTGGCCGACCCGGAAAGCTCCCATAAAAAGCACAAAGAATTAACGGCTTCAGGCTCTGCAGCAGCGTCCGAAGAACTGAGAACAGCATCGTTCAGACCAGGTTCGGGTTCTGATGAAGCGCTGGACGTGTGAATGGAAACGGGTTCAGATTCTTGCATGTCCCAGAGAAGAGTCAATTACAATATCAACATATATCAACCGTTAACCATAGATTCCATAGATTTAGGATAGGGGTGGGATATGGTGGGATACTTGTTTGAGCAGTGTTACAGTAGCCATGATTCCAAGGATGTCGCATCCAAATCCTCAGATCCTGCGCAGAGGCCTGTCATTTAGGAATCTAAAACTCCGCTGGGAAAGCAGATGGGAAAACATATACGAACTGCCCGGCCAAAAGGCCGCAAAAGAATCCAACACCTGCAACGAGCTCATCATTTGGGGATGGCAAACAAAACAAGCATAGCTTGTAGTAGCAGGTGGTTAGCTGACCTTCGTATACCGAGCTGGTAGGCCATTTGTGCCAGTGACTACCGAGTTACATTGCGCCAATTCCTTGTTTGAGAGTGAGAGACTTCCTCTTTGATCATATAAAGATCTTATAAGTGAGCATAAGGTGCCACAAAGATCCTTCATAATTCATAATATTCATACATTGTCCATACATATCCATATATATATATGATTAAATGGAAACATTGGGAACCGAACAGGCTCATCGCCTTCATGGCTAATCTTCAAAATGACGTGCCCATCTTTGCCCTTTTTTCCCGGATCGTTTCAAGACTCGGTGACTTCAAGCCCCCCAAACATGTTTCCATTTTAGTCGAGGCAACAAGCCTGAATGCCGTCACAGAGTTCCACATTCAGTGAGAATTATCAAGAACACTTGCACCCTATCGCTTATTGTAGTATATAAATTATATTAGTAGATGACAGCCTCAATATTTGCACTAAGTATGATTCGATGAAGCGGTGCAGAGTTCTGGAGTTTGGGGAATGTTCATTTTTGCATACATTTCGGATGCTCGATTGTGGTTTTAAAAATAAAACAGGTAGACCCAATCCCAATCTCAGCGGAAATGCTTGTCGGATATTATACCAATAGGACCCACTAAAAGTCATCATACACTCCAACGGTACTCCAACGCAATCCCAGCTGGTTGCAGGAGCCAACTTCCCTCTGTAGGGGAGTGGCGAACTGATTCCTCTCATGTTGCTTGAGAGGAGTAGACGCTGGGCCTGAGAAGCTCACCGGCCAAGGCCCAGCTCCAGACCGACAAAGCCAGGGAATAGAAATGAGGCAAAGAATTCGAAGAAGGAGCAAAAAAAAGTGGAAACGGCGGAAAAATCTGACACCTTCGCGACAAAGGCGCACTGCAACAGAGTTCAAGACACTTGTGCTGTGAAACTGCAAGTTGGTCGTTTTAGATTTTTTCTTTTAATAGGCATCGTTCTTTAGTAAAGACTTTGGCCCTTTTAGTCTTTTTGCTTCTTGTCCAAATCTGGCCCCAGACCGAAAGCAAACTAATTTGGTACGAATGGCTAGGCGTAAGTGCAAGCGAGGCGAACAAAACTGTTCACAAGAACCTACAATAGCTGAGGGTTGCTTTGCCTGGGTACTGTCACACCGCTCAAAATCACAATCATCACTGTCATAATCTAAGTGATTTTGTCATAGCTGTCATAGCTGATGTCTTGCAATAGTGTCCTAGTGTCCAGAAGCTCTTCTACTGCCGGGAGTAATTACCAAGGAGTTGCATTTCATCTCGCATCACTCGCATTCACACAGTGGTTGGCCCTGCCTTCGTAGTTCCACGATGCCCTCTGTATTCAGGTCCTGGTCGCTGAGCCACAAGTGAATTCTTTGTGGATTCTTTGTTGGGTTCTTTGCACAACTGCAAAGCTGCCAGAGATTCGTCTTGCGATTTGCCTTTTGGGCTTCTTTACTTCAAGCCACGCAGACTCTGGGTTTTTGGGAATTGCTGCTGTTTCCTGCAAATTTGCCTTTTGAAGTTCTTTCTTACTTTGAGACCTCTCCCTCCTTCGCTCGCTCCCTCTCTCTCTCTCTCTTTCTGTCTGTTGGGAGGAAGACGTCGACTCCAACACCTGCCGCACCTGTGACAATTCCCTTTCACCGCTTTCACCTTCCCAGAATCTGAGTGTCAGACGTTATTCTTAACTTTCATTCCTTGCAAGTGAGTGGAAGCCCAGTGATTGACGCCACGGTTTCCTTTGGTCAAATTTTGACTGTGGCAAGGTGGCCAACAAAGGGTTTCCAGCCGTGCTCGATGGAGGATCCCATCGACAAAGATAACAGCAAAACGGTTGGCCGTGGGGAGTCCGCTCCTCACGGTCCATGACATGTCAAGGGTCAACTTTGTTCGAATACATTTTCTCACCTTTGAATAAGTCTGAACCGTTGCTCAACCAACTCATTTGGCACCTTGAACGCTATCCACCAATTGCTTTCCACCTTTCCAGTCTTTGCCCGCCTGACGAGGAAGAACTGGCAACCGGTGGATGGACAATTTAAACCCACATGGATCGCGGATGGCTTGACACCCTGCCCTGTAAAAATCATTGAAATGGGGAAGAGAGTACACAGAGTAGACAAACAGTGCCATTCTTCAATGTGTCCTATCCAATCATTGAGCATGGTTGAAACTTCTTGACCCTGCGAAGCATGCGAAGCTTATGAAGCAAACACGAGCAAACACAAGCAAATATCCCACCCTATGGGGAGTGGGGATGGCAGTGGGTTTCACAGTGCCATTTCAAGGTCCATAACCTCACCCCTGAGGGGTCGACCTTTTTGATGACCTGCACGATGGGCGACACGTTGAGTTGGTACTGATAGTCACCACCTTGCTGTAGCGTGCCCAAAGAAATTGTAAGAAGTCGCGTAATTGTTGCCGTCCAATCTATCAAGATATCAGTGGAAGGTAGCAATATGAATCAAAATGAGTGACTTATACGTATCAGTTGACTACCTGAATACTTGCCTGTTTTGGAATCCCCTCATGGCAATATCCGTGATGACCATGGCCAAAAAAACCTCCAGATCTCAGCATGCGACTCTTGGCCAAAATAAGAGTTCTCCTTGCAGCCCTGATCGGTCAGCGTCAGATGGGCTAGGCTGAAAGGTAAGGTTCGATTTCCCAGTCCACTTTCGATGAGAGATCAACAAATGAACGTCGATGTCCTACAACGTCTGATACTGGCAAAAAATCAGAATTGATGCTGGAAATTATGGGAAACTAAAAAATCTGAGGAGCAAATGGATCAGGTGAAAATTAAAAACTTCCCGTCACCTACATGCAATCTCTGGAAAGGTGTAGCAGGATTTCCAAACCCCCAACCACTGTATAGCTAGCAGCGCATGCTTCAAGTCAGAGATAACAACAAATCTTGCAAAGGCCAGCCTATAGACATGGTCGATGGCTGCCAAAGCTGCGGACATGTTGTCACCACTCCTTAGGGATATGGCAAATTCCTTGCAAGAATTGCAAAGTTGTCTCCTTGGTTGCTGAGCTATTGTTCATTGCCATGGTAGCAAAGGACATTTCCACAGAAATTCGTCAAAGTTCGAGTTGTTGGCAATGTCGTATCCAGGGAATGAGGCACTCCCCATATTTCTTCAACTAATAAGGGGAAAAGTATCGCAACTTTCAAGCCCGAAGATGCAATTTATTGAGGGTGTGCAGTGTGGACAATACAGTTTCACAATCCTCGCAACGGGAACCAGTGGGAACCAGTGGGAACCTCGCAAATTTCAACCCCATGTCGTAATCCCTCTTTGTGACAAACACAATTTTGCAGATGTTGAGGACACCACTTTCGGAATTTCCAACATGGAGGTGCGATTTGTTTCAATATGTTTTTGTTTTTCACTCTGCGGCATTTTTTCTTACTATTCACTGCATTTTGGAAGTAAAGTATATCATTTGCTGCATCTTGGAGCTAAAATCTCTCATTTGCACTGCTCATCGATTTTTCCATGGTTTTCATTTTTTTCCCGTGTTTTTTGTCGTGTTTGTCCACGTTTTATATTTGTTCCACTGTTGTTAACCATATTTCCATGGTTTTCATCGTGTTTTTCATGGTTTAATCGATTGTTTAATGGTATTTATGGGGTTCTTTCCAAATTTGTTTAAGGTTGGTTGAGGGTTGGATGAGGGTTTATGTAAGGATACAATGTCTGCATATGAATAGTTCTGAATATGTATATATATAGTTGTGTATGTATCTGTGTACATGTATATATATATATATATGTGTGTGTGTGTAAATATTTATATGCGTGTGTGTGTGTGTGGTATATATTTCAAGATATACTTATATGTATATATATATATTGTGTGTATTTATATTTGTATTTGCATTTGTATTCATGGTTATTTATATGTATATTTATATTTGTATTTGTATCTACAAATATATCTATATTTATACATATTTAAATATATATATATATGACCCCAAAGCACTGTATTTACAAGTGTACAAATTTGGACTTAAGAAAAAAAAACGGAGGGGATTGGTTGCGCCCTCCCCCCACAAAGCACGATGACAATACCTGTTTTCACACGCAATCCTGTTTTCACACGTATTGTTGCAGGTTGAATCCGGACTCAAGGTGTATATAATGCACAACATGCACTTTTGTGAACTGATCGAACGTAGGTTGAGGCACAAAACCGTGTTGGGGATAGGTAGATTCATTCGATGTTATCAAAGCGTCCTTGTAAATCTTATTGTTGGATGGTTTTTTCGACAAAAAACTATAGTTGTCGTTTATTGTTCGTACTTGATGGTTTACTCGCTGTCTGCACGATGGTTGCACCATACTGCCAAGAAACCACACAAAAACAAAAAAAACAAGAAACCAAAAACAACAAAGGCCAAAAAAAACTAACAACTAAGGAACCGGGAAAACAAGAGTCGCAAAAATCACAAAAACAAAAAAAAATGAAAACCAGGGAATCAGAGTGGAAAACAAACAGTCCGTTTTAACCAAAAAAAACGCAAAAAAAAAAAAAAAAACGTCGGTTTTGGGTTTCTGATTGCGTTTTCTATTGCCAGCAAACCTATTTCAGCTGAACACTTTGATCACACCATTTGAATCTAGGCACCGTGTGCTGGCAAAGTACCGGAAACAACCGTGTACTGGAAACCACACTGGATAACTAGCCCATGTTTGGTTCATGTTTGTGACAAGACATGTCGATATGAGACCATTCACTGCGGCGAGTCTGGGCAGCCCTGGCTGGTCAGTCAAGTCCTCACCCAAGCCCATCCTGGCGGGGTGACAAGTCCTTGTCATGAAAAATTGACCCTCTTTTTTGCAACGGTCATAGCAACCGAACCAGCGCAAAACATGTTTTACATATATATATATATATATATACATATATATACGTATATATACATGTATATATATATATGTGTGTATATATATATATATGTATATATGTATATATATATGTAAATATATATATATGTATGTATATATATATATAGTCGCGCGGCCCCTTTTTTTCACTTTGCCTCTTGCACGTTGACTCCTCTGTTTCTGCACAGTTTGTTGCGGGCACATGCTCGTTGGCTTATTGAACCCACCATTCCCATCTGTCCATTCCGGTAAAGAAAATGGTGCGCTGCCTCTGCGATCTTTTCTGCAGTGAAAACTTACATCCCACCAAAGAGCCCAACGCTTCTGACATACACCCCTCCAATGCGGCAAGCTGCACAGGGCCAAGATACCCGCAATGGATGTGGCCAGCCCGAGAAGATTGGAGTGCTCAAAGCCAACAATATTTGAAAGGGGCAAGCCTGTCTGATGCTCACCTGGGCCAAGACCCAATCAAGCCGCAGTGAGAAGTCTGACCGCGGGTTTCAGCGCCAGTTGCATTAATCGTTTGAAGCGTTCCATGGCTCTGTCCCATGGCACTGCACTACAAATACTACCCACAACAAAATCGAATTTACTCCTACGAGCAGACCTGTAGCATTCACTATGTTATGATAGAAATCCACAGGCGGCAAAGGAGAGCGGCATTGTGGATGGCGGCATGGCAGAGCCGAAACTGCGTGCAGAAGCAAAGTTGAAGGAAGATGCAAGCCTAGTGTGGCTTTTTCGCGGCAGCTTTCGGAGTTTGGCTACCGTGAAAATTTCAGCAGTGTCCCCATCTCCTCTTGTATTTCAGCAGAGGGGGTGATCGGATTTGATCGCCAGTGCGGCTGAATCTGGGCAAATAGAAGAGGAAGGAAAACAAAGAAAGCCAAAGAGACACAAAAAAATCTTTCGGAAGACCCTTGCTGACGATCGGCCTTTTACAATGGCCTGAACGGCTACGCTAGAATCCAGGAGAAACGCTGTCCTGCCTCCTCCTCTCGCCGCTGATGCTGTGGTGACGCTGAGGGCACTGGAAGTCTCAAAGAAAATGGGAAGAGAAGTGAGAATATCCAAACTCCACCGACCTCCCGACCTGCAGTCCTCGTCACTTCATTCACACAAGCAATCTCCAAACCGTCGCACAGCAAAGAATGTCGCGCAAAAACCAATGCCAAGGCTCATGCCAATCCTGGACACCAAACTGCTGACACCTTGGTGTCTGGCCTTCTATCTTACTACAAGTCTCGCCGTCGCCCTCATGTGGCAAGTCAGGAAACAAATTTCTTTCTCCAATGGGCTGCCATATCAACCGGAAGCTGCGACCCGTACAGCCGAGCCACCTTAGATCTCCGACAAATTTCAAGAAGCGCGATCACAAGCCTGCGGCCAGAAAAATGGGGAGAAGGCTGCGGCTTCGGACCCCAGCCTTCGTTGAGCTCTGGCTGAAGCCTGGGTGACCTGGTAAGTCTTCTGCAAACAGTTGCTCCTGGACCCCCCGGACCCATTGCAGCCTGATCCAAGGCTCTGTCACACAGCTTCCTCCTTGACATTACGCCCTTCCCCCAACCTTTGCTCTCTGGGACTGTCTGCTTATGACATGAGCCAAAATGAGTGAGGGCGCCTTTGAAATCCCCTGAAAGCCACAAAGGCTGAATGCCATCGGCTCCCGTCTTGGGCTTCACAAGAAGTATTGCTAGAAGCATTTGCCGCATATGAAAACTCGTGGCAGAGGTCCCTATCTGCGTGTCTTTGGGGGACTTGGGGCATTGAATTTTTGTTACGCTTCCTTTATATCCTGTTGTAACCTGTAACTTCGCTCATTGGGTGCAATATCACAAACCCAACGAATCCCATGTCTTGAAGAGCTCCAAGACAATCTCCGCCCGGCCCACTGCAAAGAATTCAGCAGCAGGACCAGACTGTCTGCTCAGACTGGAAATCACTTCAATGCTTCCTGCCACGCTCAAGTGTTGGACTGCCAAGCCACTTTGCATAGCCATGGACAAGCAGCAAAGGCCGGGGGGAATCTGTGGATCCCAAGCAATGAATGTACCGTACAACGCCCAAAGTCTGTGAGACTCCTCGCAAGACTTACCTGCACAATAAGACATTCAGTCTGCACCGTGCTGCACATGATTTCGGCGCCATGCTGATCTTAAAAACGCGAAGAGTTGCGAAGAGCTTGCAAAGAGCTGAGTAGAGCTGCGAAAACCTGAGTAGAGCTGAGCAGAGCCGTGACTAGCTTGAGTAGAGTTCCGGCCGTCTGGAGAGGTTTCCACTTGGGGCCGACTTTGGCCGGAACCCCTCCTTGGCACCATGTCTGTTTCTAATCTCCTTCCGCATGTTGACCTGTCTTGATTCAATGTATTGATGATAATGTTGGGATGAAACACTTTGACACTCTGGCTAAACAGATCGCGGGTGGAACCTTTGATGGCTGAAATGGGTAGCTGCCTTGAGGAGCCGCAAGAGCCATGCCAGATGCCACTGGTTGTTGTCGAGGCTGGCCTGTTGCGTGACCATGCATGCAATACAAGTAGTACATGGTCTCGCACGTGGCCCCAGTCTTCCTTTCCCGGCACATCAAAAGCGTGAGGTGGCTTGGAAGCTGGGTATGGTTTCGACTGCGGGGCGACGAGCCTTCAGGTAAAATTAGCCCGGCCCCTGCCCCCATGCGGCTCAGGGCCTAACCATTGGAAACTGCCGCTACTCCTCCTGAAGTTGCTGATTGTTGCAAACTGTGAAGACGGGCTGACGGGCTGCTGCTCTGCTTGCGATGAGATAAAAAGGAATGGCCTTCTCCTCTGCCCCTCAGTTGGCCCTTTCCACTTTCATAGCTGCCAGATGTTCCGTGAGTCGGCAAAATGCAGAAGATTGTATCCATCTGGGCAGCCATTGCTGCCACTGTAACTCTCTCCACCCTTGAATGCGGAGCTTCTTCAGGCGGAGGTTGTTTTTGCAGTGCAGCATCCTCCAGAAAGTTCTCCGGCAATGACAAAAGTATGGCCCCCTGGCGCAATCAGCTGCTGTCCATGTTCTCCTGGTGGCCGCAATAAAAATGCAAGTTGCTCTGAATGGAGAGCCTCCGTTGGCCGAGGATGATGGGTCCATCAATCAATTCCATTTGTGCTGAACTCCACACCTGCCTTGCCATCCTGGCGCGCAAAACCACCGCACAGATGCGCGGCCTGATGTTGAGCGGCACCCTTGGTGGCGCGAGCTTTGCCAGCACACAGAAAGGAAGTTAGTAATCAGCCTCCCATGCTCGTTTCTCGCAAAATACGCAATATATGTATGTATGTATGTATGTATGTATGTATGTATGTATGTATGTATGCATGCACGTACGTACGTACGTACGTACGTATGTATGTATGTATGTATGATAAATAAATAAACATATATATATGTATATATTCAACTGCCACCAACCGGCGACCCAGCTGCATGCAATGGGTAGGACAAGGATGCAGGTGCGCAGCGAAGCTGTTGTAGTCACCTACTGGCCTAGACTGCTACCCAGTTCATCAGCTTGAGCAGCAGCATCATGCAACATGTCAGCACGATTGCATTCATATCTATATTTTACATGTGTATTTATATGTATATATATATTTATGTGTGTGTATTGTAAATATTTATATATATCTATATGTGTGTGTATTACAAATATATAACTATATGTGTATTATATATATACATATATCTATATACATATATATATATACGTATTTATATATATTACTATTATACATATATAATATATATATAATATATACTAAATTCAAATATACATGATATATATATAATACATGATATATTTAGATATACATGGTATATATATATGATATATATCTATATATATGTATATAATTATAAATATATATATATATATTATATATATATGTGCAATTTGAACTACTTGGGAAGGTACAAGAATCTATCAAACATAGTCTGGAAACCCAGGTAAGAGACTAGTGGAAGTTCCCGATTTGTTGTAGATTTGGCATCACCACTTCAACTGCACTGCATCATTCAAAGCTAGGACGTTCAACGTATGTATATGCGGTGTTCCCCAAAACAAAAACTGAACGTGGCTGCGTGCTGTGTGTTCCTGGTAGAAACTGCAGTGTGGGTGAAGACCTATTTATGATTAGTCACTGGTTCGTGACTTCGGATTCAAACTCCTCTCACACATTGACACTGTCACGCTTCAAGTTCACACAGTGTAAACACATAGGGGTGACTACCATCTGCTCTTGCGATGTCATACACCAGCTACCAATCGGGTATCTGAGTTCAGCTCTAGGAAGAGTTTTCAAACTTGTTGTCCATACTTCTGGAACATTTAAAAAATGTCCGATCGCTGCTTCGTTTGCCAAGCTCATCATGTTCCAGGCCAAAGCCGCAGAAACCCAACATGTGCCTCAACAAGTCTGGTCCATAGTAGAGCCTCAGAACGGCCGATGTCAATCATCGATGTATTATCAGCAGCGAGATCTCTTGGGTCAAACCCTTCCTGTCTGTCCGACCTATCAAAGCTGTTTTGGGGACTGATAGCCACATAAATCAACTCCAAAGGAAGAAGCACGTATCTTCAAGTAACGGTTGGTTGTGCATCTCATGACACTTTCCCACCCATCAAGCCGTCCTGGGACCTTAGGGGCACCCCGCATAATCTGTGGACCAACAGGGCTGCCAGCGAGCTCCTGTGAGCTCCCCACCCCGCTGGCAGACCTTAAAGATTCTGGTCAGAAAATGGAATGCATGGATTACATTCTGCTTTCTGTTGCAACATTCACTGTGGTCCTACGCTCGTATGCCATTTTTCACACAAGCCAAAAAAAATTGGGTCCCAATTAAGAAACAATCCCAGCAATGCCCAACCATTGATTCGATCGCTTCAGTTGATCCTTGCAGTTCCGATAACAAAGCCAAACTTTGCGCTGACAGCAATCAATGATGTTACGCTTATCAATTAGGGTTGGGAAGCGACAAGTTTGTGATCCCTTCGTCAAGGACTCATACCAACTGAGTACTAGCTATCCCTTTTCTCCTGCACAAGGGGATGGTGATCTTCGAGCAAAAGCTCACAGACCTGCAGACGACGATGCCCATGGAACACTGAATGAAGAAGATGAATTGGGTCAGAATGTCAATCTACCATTCTCTGAAGAAGGTGGGATATACAGGCCCCAAAACAAACCATAAAGCTTAGGCTTAGGTGCGCTTTGCCGCCAGAGGTGAAGATCTAGGGCACCCTCAGCGACTCCTAACCTCACCACCACTCATTGCCACCAGGTATTGCAGGGCCTTGTTGGGGTTTTTGTAAGTGTTCCTCGTGAGGGCTAAAACCCTCAACACCGCCAAACCGGTCTCGTGGCAGAAGACCTCAGTCCAAGATCCCCCCTGCCTGAACTGTTGCAGATTGCTCTGGATGAAATACAATTTTGTCAAAGTAAGTCAGTTTGACCCAGAAACTTCCAACATGAGACCCCGCGAAAGTTTTTCTGAGTTCGCGTTTTTTTTGCGAAAGATTCAGCGAAAGATTTTAACATGAGACCTCTGCGAAAGGTAAATGTAGGGTTTGCAAAAGATTCGGGAAAGTCAATTTTTCAAGTGGCCGTTTGTAGATAAAGGATTTTAGATCAACCACCTATGTGTATATGCATTCTGGCGTGCCTGCGCGGAGATATCAAAAAAGGGTCAATCAACACGTCTTGTTTGATCCACTGCTTCTCTAAGCGGCTCCTTCTTTGAGCCTCTTCTAATTTGATCTACCTCTTCTCCGAGCTACAGTACCTTATCTCTAGCCACTGAGTCAACAAGCGAACTAGAGACGCTTGCTCGTTGAATGACATTGTTGGGTGAGTTGCTGAGTTGTTGAGTGGCGGCCTTTGCAATGGACAATCTCTACATGGACCTTTAGATCGACAATCACATCAGTTACGTTCCGTACATACGCACGTACATACATACATACGTACATTGCTTACATACAAACTGTAAATATTCTTTCATTCATTCATTTGTCCATGCATCCAATGATTCCTTCGTTCAATTAGTCATTCATTTTGGCAACACGTTTCCAACAAAGTCAACAAACGGCTTCATTGTCTTGTTCCTTGACTGGCAAGATAAATTTGGCACAAACATGTTTGTTGGATAACAAACATGCAGTCATGCACTCGATAAAGCGCGTCATTGAACCACTCTCCTGTAGGGCTTAGATTTCCGATAGCTCCTTGTGTAGTTTGCACATGTAGAAAGAGAACCTTTGCCCTAAAAATACTAAGATAACACAAGAATGGACAGGAAACAGAGAAAAGAACTACTTGCAAGAGCCTACTCTTTCAACTTGATGCACCGTTCCACCGGACTTTTCCATGGGGCCCTGGTCACAACTTAGCGCCCAGCTCTGCTCTCACACATGGTCGCAAATTTCGCCTGCACCCAACCGTGGCAAAAGCCCCAAAGTGAAAGGAAAGGCTGAACAATGCGAGACTCATTCTGTTTTGCTAGAGAGGAAACAGCAAGCCAACTGCCTTCAAGCCTAGGGAGTCTTGTCTTCACACAGAAAGCCCGGCCACAGAAGTCATATGGGCCTCAAATTCAGGATAGGATTTTTTGAAGTTGGTGTACAGGAAATTAAAGTACAGCGTCCTGCGGCGTTGCAACTGGCATGGGTCGGGGTCAATGTGGGTCAACCCGCCTGCAAATTAGAACATCCACCAAAGCCCGATCCGGAACCGCTTCTTTTGCACGCTAACAGACGGCTGGGGCGCACTGCAACTAAGAAAAAGAAGTGACGAGTGAACCAACAAACAATGTGCTGTATAGGTCAACCACCATACATTCACTCCTGCGACATTGTGAATAAGTATTGCGGATTGAAACTGGGGACAGCTTCAAAATTGCCCGTTCATACTCAGCTTAGCGTGGATCAGTCAAGCTACAATCTGCTTTGTGGTATCTCTTGCAAGGACAAATTACACTCTCGCCGCTCACCAACGAGGATCATCTTTCCAATCTTGTGGACTGAAAATGTCCACCATCCAGTAATTGCGGAAAAAGCAACAGAGCAGTTTTTCTTTCATTCTCTATGTCCAAGATGTTGGTCACGTGTATGCAACAGTTTTTCTAGATATTTTCTGATCACCGTGAAACGCGGAAGATAAGCAAGCCACCTCCAACTTTGAGACCAAAACCCACCGTCCATGACCGTCCTGTCATCAATCTTTGGGTTGTCAGTCAGCTTTTGAATCAGGTCCTCCATGGCCTGGCAGAGCTTAGAGCAGCTTGGCCAGAGGACTTGTAAAAAGTCACCGAGCTCACCGAGCTCATGTAAAACTTTAGGCGAGCGACTGTATAATCAGCGACTGACTCAGTAAAAGTTTTAAGAATTTATAGGTGTACAGATTTGATTTGGTTGTGTGTTTCCGGGAAGTCATTTTATCCAAAAGGTTGTGGAAGTCACGTGAAAACAGCAGCTGGTTGATCCGCAGACAGGCTCTGTAACCGGGGATTGTCAAGAAAAACAAATTTGACTAATCAATCTTACTTGCATATTTCTCTTCGTGGGGGAACCGGCTGCACCCATTCCTTCCGCATGGAATCTCACATTTAAATGCCAAAACCAAAAGCCATCGCCAACCCTCACAAGAACATGCGACGGGTAACATTCACCAGGCTAGGGCTCCAACTGCTGTGAAGCCCAAGTAGACCGGCTGCATGGCAATTGGGAAGATGAACTTTTCATTGCATCCAGCTCCTTCGGACACATTTGTTGGGTCAAAATTTGTTGATTCCCACGAAGGTTGCTCATGTTTCCGACCAACGCTCAACCTGAAGGTGAATAATAAAGCTGAATGACCAGTCAGTTCAACTGCCAATTTCTTTCTGTCACCCGTCTTGGTTGTTGCAAAGCATACTCGCCCAGATGGACAGAGGCAAGATGCACCCTGGCTAAGCTGGCTCTCATGCCAGGTAGAGATTTGGAACCCCTCGTTGCACGCAGTATCACCCGTGGTAGAGATGGTGCTGTGTTTTATCATCACTCTAGAAGCAAACGCCCCGTCCTGCAATGTCAAAGATGGAATGGTAGAAATAATAGTGAAGAGTACCTCTCCAAGTGCGTCTTGAACACAGCAATCCAACATGACCCTTTGTGGAATGGTCCCACCGCATCCCTTTTACGGCTTCATAGGCATGGGTGATGTCCTGCTTCCATCCCTTTCATGTCATGGCTAATCGTCTAGCAGTCGTCTTGCAAGTTTACATTGCTCCTCAACATCTTTTGGCTTGAATAATTTCTGAATATATAATCCAAACATCTTTTTGAAATTACAGATTTGAGTCAATTGGAGTCAATTATAATTGAACATCATTTGACTCAGTCTATCTGCCCAGGGATCGAGCTATAAAAGCCAACCGACAGGGAGCGCCATTCATCAAGTGCTTTCGATCCAGGTCCAAAAGGCCCCGGAAGTTGATACAAGCAATCTCTCCTGCATCGAACAAGATGCTCTTCAAGCTCTTCTTTCAAAACGTGTCAAACGAATATTTACAAATTCAGCATATGAAAATTCGTAAATCAGGTGTAATTTGTGCGTAAGCGATTTGCAATTCGTATCTAAATTATTTGTAATGCATATGCAAGGAATCGTAAGAATGCGTAAGTCAAGCTGGGGATCCTCTAGGATCATGCACTGGGTACCTCTGCAAAGTTTCTCCTCTCCCTTCTTGCGCGATAAGCACGGGATAAGCATGGCACAACCGATTGACAGAACCCGGTCTGCAACAAGCCCAAGATCGCCCAGGATAACTTGAGGCCCGAGGGAGGGGTGAACGAAAGCTGAGGTTCACATGAGCCTGGAAGCACGATGGGATTTGATGGGAGTTGGATATGCTGAATACAGATTGCCTAGAGACCTGGCAGGATTTGAGTCCGTTACCATCTACTTCCAAGACCGCCCCAAAATGCCCCGGGAGCTTTGGGGGGTGAAGTAGCTTTCCCCGTGTTGAGGGAGCCCTGGAATCTACTGAACCCTTGCGGTCAAACGGTGGCTGCTGCACTCTTTTCTACGCGGTGATGCAGTAGTCTTGAGCCAGCGAAGTGGCGCAGTGGAAATAGTGAATTCTATGAACATGTCATGCACAACATGCAAACTGTCATGCATGCATTGTGTAGACATGTCCCCAGAAGTGATTTACAAGCAGACACTGTCGAAACATGCAGCTACTTTTCACAAGAAGCGCTCAGCTTGTGATCTGCTGTGAAACGTGTCCGAAGACAAAAATCAAAACTACAGGCAGCTACTGGCAGGCTGGCCGCAATGCGGCACATTGGCATGTTGAAGGACTTACAAGCCCATAGAGAAGGTGTATCTGTAGAAATCAAGTTCATTTCTCCTTCTCTGATTTCCAGACTGATGGAAAAAGGTTGATTGATCTGGTGTTTGCGGAATCAAGTCCAACCATTCACCATTGTATTTCTGAATCCACCTTTGGCGTGGAACGGTATATCCTGGAACGTATTCCACATTGTGTGTGTGGATTGGTTCGGTAGTAAGATGGTTGTTGATAGGAATAACTGAATAACCGGGATCTCGGTACGTCGTTGAGCTTGATGATGTTCCTTGATGACCTTGGTCAAGCCATTGTGAACCCGACATGCGGGATGGAGGCGCTGGCGGCTCAGGGACTCCGGCTGGTCGAGTCCTGTTACTCCAATCTGACCGAGATTCGGAACGTGTTCGCGTGTTGCGCTCAACAGGTGTCTGAGATCGTTGGCGACCTCTTTCACGCAAACGCCATGGAGGTGTATTGGCTGATGTTCCCACTGTGCGTGAAGGAACAAGCGGATCATTGCTTGGTGATCTGGCTGACCGCGGAGGCGGTCCTGGAGGTGCAACTGGAGGTGCTTTGACCGGTGGTGTGACATTTGTAGAAGAAGTTGGTGCTGGGTTGATGGATGCTGGAGCAGCCTTGTAACGTGGCTTTGTTGGTAGTGTTGGTGGTGTTTTTGGAGGTGTCACTGGTGCTCGCACTGGTGCCGGTGGCGGCTGTGGAATGCGTGCGGCAGGATCTCTGCTTGGAACGCGACTAGCGGACCGAGATCTTTGTTCACCAACATTTTTGAAGGTGTCTCTCCGCAAAGGCGGAACACTGTCATGTTTTTCACGACGTTCAACCCTCATGTCGTCACGTCTTTCTTCATATTTCTCATTAAGTCCTCCCCAGCACTCTCTTCTCCGGTCTTCGGATTGCTGCGACCTGATTCGCATGTTCTTCAAAGATTTCAGTTGAGCAAAGGCCAACCAGGGGGAGTGCCAGGCACAATCTTTTTCGGCAAGACCTAAGTCATAAGTCAGAAGGTGCTTCACTTGCTCTACGTCGTTGAGCATCACTTCATCGGAAAAAAGCTGAACCGATAAGTCCATCCGCAGATGCGGAATCTTCTCTTCCTCGGGCTTCTGTGACAACGACTTGCTTGCCATAACAGAAAGAAATTAGAATCATGAAAAAGCAATCGGCATCTTTGCCTTCCATACTTGGAATGTACTCACCTGCAGTTGTTGATGAAACTACGTTATACGTAATTCTGTTGATAGGACTTCGATGCAAATTGATCTGTTGGAGAAATCTTTCAAGGATGTCAATCATGATGCATGTCCGAAAATCGGAATGGTCATCTGACATCTGACTTGAAACTGCGTTGGGCAAAAAGGTTTCCATCACCTGAAATAAAATCAACTTGGTGTTCAACACAATTTGCAACAAAACTGAGCCACTTTTGGCATGCTTCTGCATAGGCGTGTGTCCATGCGTAAGAAGAAATGTGAAATACTGCAACACGGACTTCAGCCAAAAGGAGGCGTTTCACGTCATGCGTGTCTGCGCCGGGATCAACAGAGATAATTTCTGCATTCTGAACATTAACCTTTCCATCGATTTCACAAATGGCATGTGATTGAAAATCTAATGTGGTGGCCAACGGACGAGGATGCTGCTGCACAGCTAGTTCTACGTTTGGAGTGATGTTAGGTCGAGGCATTCGAACTCCGGTGCTCGGATTAACGAATTCTCCTGAGGTGTTCTCTCCGTGGCACAAACGAAAAATTGCTCCATGAAGAATCCAAAATTTGTTAGACTTGTTCTCAGTTTCACATTGGTAATGGCCAAGAAGTTCAATGAAAGTGCCAACTGAATGGTCTCCTGGATAAAAATGGCGAGCGACTGTGAATTGATCTCCGGATGCACAACCATTCCAATCATGCCGTGGTCTCTGGCAATTTGCTGATGAATTGCAATGCCACCGTATTCATCGGATGCTTCGCAAAGGCATGTGATGTGTGCAGAATGTCGGAAAACTAAATAGGGAAGAGCACGATAATTCGTGTCTGTTCTGACCCATTTTGGAAACTTGGAACTTCCTCCGATATACGGAACACGGTTGATGTGGCCCAAATTAAGAGTCAGAATTCCGAGCTGATAGGTGTCCTTCTGGGTGTCGTTGATGTTCTGTTTGCTGCGCATTACTACACCCTGGACGGCTCGTTTTCCCAGGAGACATGATCGAAAAAGCTCCAATAACCTGTTGATTTCCTGTTCTGTCAGCTGAGGACCATCTGGGCACTTAAAGAAAACCATCGGCCGCCAAATCGGCAGGGGTGTTTCGTCCTGAGCGTCGAGGAAGTGCTCTTGTAATGTTGGAACACGATTCGCACCGTCCATGCGGTAGATGAATTCTGCATAGTCAAAATTTTCAATGCCGTGTTTAACGAAGCTTTGTAAATAGGATTTGCCACAGGTTCGACCTTCCTTCAGGTGTTGAATAAGTTCTTGGAAATTTTCCTGTCGATTCTGGGCCTGCTCGGCTCTGGTTGCGCCGAAATAAGCTGATTCTTCCAGAACGGCATCAATGAGAACTCCGACATCGAAAGGTGAATCCTTGGAACCAATGCTGTCAGGCATAAAAACGGATGAAAGTTCGGATTAATAATTGATGATATTATGGTCGCATGCCAAGCCGTTGACACGGCATTGAAGGCAAAATGCAAGACCACATGGGCAGCACCAAAACATAGCTGACATAGCTTCTGCGGCACCACAATCTTGAAAATTTGTACAACACTGTGGTCCAGTGGGACGTGGATACCATTCAAACTCATCTGTTTCCTTTTTGAATTTGGTGAAAAATTTCTTGGCGGCTTCGGCGTCCTTGAAAAGTTCTTTGGCTTGAGTCGATGTCTCTCGCCTGGCCGCTGATCCGATAACTGACTGACGTCGGTTGTTTTTCGCCGATGATTCGGCAGGTCGTGCAGCGGATGCTTGGGAATCGGATGCTTCTGCAGAGCTGACCGTTCCTGCGGTACTCTTCTGCTGCTTGGGCATGGCTTTGGCTTGAATTCATTTTGGTGGCATTTCACTTTCGGAGGTCGATGAGACGTCTTGCGTCTTTTGCTTCCTTAGGTGGTCTTGAAACCGTTTTCGAATCTCTTCACGAAGGTCATCGACGCGCTTGTCATCTTCCGTTTTCGGAGGGCCACGTGGTTGATCGTTTGGCGTGGCTGTTTCTCTGACTGGTCGCGCCGGGGAACTGTTGGGAAAATTGGTAACAGTTGGAATATCTGAGATTCGCTCAGTGACATAGTGGACATAATCAGAGCGTGGCCAGGTGACATTATCAATATTGTTATCATTTTTCTTTTCCCAGTAAAATTGATGGTGGTAAATGTGCATAGCAATGCCGATGTCAGAATCATAGTCATTCATTCTAAGTCTCCGGCTTCCGGAACCTCGATCCAGGCCCGGTCAATCAGGGCATTCTCTAATGATGGTCCGTGCTTATCTGCATCCAATGTTGTGATCCCGAACCAGTCATCAATTAAGTCCTCATATTCAAACCAGCTAGATTGGCCATCAAATTGGGGTGGAACCTTTGGTGTCATTTTGATGCCCATCCGGCTTTCGGAATGACTGGTGGCGGCATGTGCTTCAGGCTCTTCATAAGAAACAATTTGGAGTTGTTCTTCATCTGAATCCATGTTGTGGATTAAGACCATGGCAGCTACTCTAACTTGACCTACAAGTTGCCTTCGCAAGTCCGATATACGGAGCGTATGCAAAGAACAACAGTTCGGCACACGGATCGGAACTTGGCGAAGGCACAGGCTCCGCTACCACTTTGAGGTTGCTTTCCCCGTATTGAGGGAGCCCTGGAATCTACTGAACCCTTGCGGTCAAACAGTGGCTGCTGCACTCTTTTCTACGCGGTGATGCAGTAGTCTTGAGCCAGCGAAGTGGCGCAGTGGAAATAGTGAATTCTATGAACATGGCATGTACAACATGCAAACTGTCATGCATGCATTGTGTAGACACGTCCCCAAAAGTGATTTACAGGGGGGAGGGGGGCGGGTTTCGAATGAAAAATCACTGTGTTGGACTCAGACCTGCCCCTCCCCTTGCTGAAGCAAGAGTAACTCCAGCTAGCTACCGCTAGCTTTCGTGACTATATGTAATTCATGCGTAAGGAATTGTAGGGATCCGCAAGTCAAGTTACATCGGGTACCTCTGCAAAGTTTCTCTTCTCCCTTCTTGCGAATAAGCACGGGATAAGCATGGCACAACCGGTTGGCAGAGCCCAGTCTGCAACAAGCCCAAGACCGCCCAAGACCGCCCAAGACCGCCCAAGACCGCCCAAGACCGCCCAAGACCGCCCAAGACCGCCCAGACCGCCCAAGACCAACTTCCACATGACTGAACCAACAGATCTGAGTCAGCACATGCAACACCTCGTTTAAACTGTTCCTGACGAACAAAACACATTCAATCAGCAAAAGATTTGTTTCTGTTGTTCACTGGCAAATGGTGAGATGCTTGACAAAACTTAAGGCTGGTCAACAAAGCGGGCAAGGCCATCACTTCTACGTGGTTTTCCTAAAAAAGGGTGACTTTTGTGTCTCCTGAGGGTCATTATCCAACGGTGATCCTTGTTGACCCTTGCGCCAACAAAAGTGACCACTTCTCCCGTGGCGTCCTTGACCCAGCTGTGGGAGCTGAAAATTTGTACCAAAGCCTGGAGCTGAATTGAGAGAATGCTGCTTCGGGATAACCGTTCATCGTCGGATACTACTTAAACCGAATTTTCAAACAATCCTGGCCATATCCATCCCTTCATGAACAATGTTGAGTCCTCCCAGTCACATTTCTTGCAGGAAAGGTTCCTTCTTCGCTTTCGTTCATTGCAACTTTCCGACCAGATTTTCGTCCAGGGAGCTGATTTAGCTGATGACAATGGCACCAATTCCACCCCGGAAGAAATAGAACAGGTCCAGCCCCTGCCCTGGGGCCCGTGGGACACAGCGAATTGATAGGCCTGCTAAAATCGATTCTTGGCGGGCCGGAGAAAGCTTCGCCACCTGAGGTGCTGAGCTCGTGGATTTCTGAGGACCAACTGGCCCATGAAGCATGTGAGCACCGTGAGCCTGTCAAATGGGATCGTCTTCCTGTTTCAACGGATGATATATTTCAGCGGATTAAAGTGCCAAACCACGTACAGTGCACGGGGATGTCTTTTAAATGGGCCTTTGCTTTTAAATGGGATTGCTGGGATGCGGTGTACCAACACCAAGCACATTGCACGATTTGTGTGTCTGTGTGCCCCCTCTTGACTGAATCATACTGAATCCAGGCAGTTTCACCATTTCCGACTTTCTTATCGCACACTGCCGAGGCACGGTTGGTAGCAACTTCCTAGCGGAATGGTGGGCAACCAGTTGCAGATTCCATGCGCTGACTGCCGAAGCTCTTTAGTGGGTCCGAACTCATAGTCTACATTGTACACTTTAGGTTCCAGCACTTCCAAGCATTTTGGAATGCCCTCTTTGCAGGAAGAAATATCACTCTTGTTGAGAAGCGGGCTAGCTACGGGTTGGCTGTTGGCTGGTTCTGCCCATCACCCTTCAACATCAGGCACATCAAGTCCTCTTTAACTCCGGATCTGACAACGCACAAGCGAGAGCTCTGTCGTGATCATCGGAGCCTCGGGCTTTTGTCAAGAGGTGAAAAAAATCTGCGACATGGACACGACTAACATGACTCATGATGTTTATGTCGTTTATTTTTTTCTGGAGACCCGCTGTTATGGCTGGCTGGAAATCCCGCAAGATCAATGAGAAAATCGTCTCAGAATGGTGAAGGTTCCAGCGATAAGTTTTTCCCTGGAGGGCATTCATGGAACTCTATGGATGTAGCCACTTACCCCTATGTATAGTATGGACCAAACATGAACCAGCCGATCAAAGTCCAGCAGGGTTTGTGAGAATACAACCAGGCTTAGGGGTAAGATGACAACGATTTCTGGGATCCAAAGACTCTGAAAGGATTCCGAGCAAATAAAGTATGCACAGTTTCTTGTCCGAGTTTGAAGTGTGGAAACAGCCCAGGACAACAGTCACCCGAACCAGGGCACGCATGTCAAATGGCAAGGAGTCGTTCACCACCTGCCCACGGATTGTGGATCGCAAGTCCTGTCAATGATTTGCCTTGTAAGTAGCTGACCCTAAATATCGTGACATGTAATCGCCCTCGAGAATGCCAACAATCAGCCAGGCCTTCCGAAAACCGTCGCTCTTCCCAACATCATGCACCACCAAGAAGACCTTTTTGGACACTGCTGAAAAATCGGAGAATGACTGGAGAAGGCTGCAAATGCCCAACCACCTTTGTGGTGGTGAAGAATCACAGGCGGTTTAGACTGAACACCGAAACAATCCTAAAAACATTACTTTAGTCTGAACATCTTTGAGAAGACACTTTTACTTTTGTTTGTTTGGGTGCAACGGTTGGAACCGCACTAACCATATCGATATCAATTTCTAAAACGAAGGTCTAGCATGGTTTACATCGAATGAATCCAAAGCAAAGGCTAGCCCGGAGCTAACGCGAGATCGGCACCGTGGTGATTTGCTTGATTTAGGTGCGGGCCCGCAACACGCACGAAGATGAAAAACATGTTGCTTAACAAAAATAGTGTTTCCTGAGTTGAAGATCAAATCCTCAATCACTTTTGAGCATACCAGTAGCACCGCACAAGGCACTGGCTGAGGTTTCAAAAATAGAAAACCTACAGGAGAGGTTGGTTGTTGTGAATCACGGATGGCAGAGCGAATCCACTGATGGACGCGAAGGTGGTTGCACTTGTGCCTTTTGAAATGATTGCAGTGGTCACCTCACCGCAACTGCTGGATGTAGTGTGGTGTGGTGCAGTTGTAGCTCTAGCTGTACTTTAGTTCAGCGGGGTTGTAGTTGTAATGTAGTGTAGTTAGTGTAGTAATTATTGTAGCGTAGTGCTGTAGAGTGGTATAGCGTAGCGTAATCTAGTGTAGTGCAGTGTAAAGTAGTGTAGTTGTAGTTGTAGTGTAGTGCAATGCAATTAGTGTAGTGTAGTGCAATGTAGTGGCGGTTGTAGTTGCAGTTGCAGTTGTAGTTGCAGCCTAATGTACTGTAATTAGCGTAGTGTAGTGTAATTAGTGAAGTGTAAAGTAGCGCAGTATATTTATTTGTAGTTGTAGCCTTAGTGTAGTGTAGGGGTAGTTGTAGTGGTAGCTGTCTATCTATCTGTCTATCTATCTATCTATCTTTCTATCTATCTATCTGTCTATCTCTATCTATCTATCTATCTACCTATCTATCTGCAAGCTTGAAAACAAAGCAATTCTGCAAGGCTTCCTCAATTTTTGAACTTGACAACGTCAAAAACGCAATTCTGCGAGACTGCCTCAGCTTTTGAACTTGATAACGTCAAAAACGAAGCAATTCTGCGAGGCTTCCTAAATTTTTGAAGTTGGCAACATCAAAAACGAAGCAATTCCGCGAGACCTCCTGCAAAAATGGAAAGTTGAGTGAACTGACCGCCTCTAACCAATGTGTATTGCGAATTTTCCATTCCATCTGTGTAAAGTACTGCGCCTGCCACGAAAAAGTGAAGCCGGGTCATACGAAGTGCTGCACCTGTCACGCAAAATCATCTTAGCAAACCTGAAGATCTGATGCTCCAAAATGCAACCCCTCTCAGGAAATCACTGCGCCCTCTGATGGACATGTCTCTTGTACTGCGCCTGCCACGCGAAATGCATCTTTGCAGATCGTTTTTGGAAATGCCACAAAACCCTCACATTTTGCTGATTTTTGACAAGGTGCACAATCCACTGCGCTTGCCACGCGAAACGACCTGAACGTCCAAAAGTGGTCCAAACATGTAGTGCTTTTGGAAACGCGCTTCGCGCCACAACGGCGTGCACTTTTTCGATATCTCAACTTCCACGTGCACTTTTTCGACATCTCAACTTCCAAAAGTGCTCCGAACGTGGTGTGTTTTGCACATGTTAACTTCGAAATGCGTTCTCTCCACAACGGCGTGCACTTTTTCGACATTTCCATTCCTAAGAGTGCTCCGAAGCTGACGTGCTTTGTGCATTTTGACTTGGAAATGTGCTTCGTGCCACAACGGCGTGCAATTGTTCATCTCTCATCTGGCTAGATGGCTCCGCACCCGCCGCTTTAGCGAGCCGACTTTTCGACCCTCCGGAGCCACAAAGCATTGTAAAAACACAACTTTGCTACCCTTTCGCGCACCTGCATCTTCTTTCTTCTGACTCTTTCTTTTCTCTGATCTTCTCTCTTCTTCTCTTCTCTTCTCTGACTCTTCCCACCTCTGCTTTTCCATCTGTCCATATTGTCGGAAGTTTGACTTCTAAACTTCCTTCGATGATCATGTCTCCTTTCTCAGTAGCGTGTGAAAACCAGGCCGTGGTTATTACATCATTTCTACGTGGTTCTGTAGAGTTCTTATCTATGTTGGACAAATGGAGATGCAAATCATCTCAAGGCACAGGATCAAGTTTCTTTCATCAACTGCCGAGCCAAAAAACACTCATGATTCTAAGCCAGACTGTCAGATGTGTGTTTTGCTTTGGTCCGCTGAGTCTTGGGCAAGCATGCTCCACCAATCATCTTCACTGGTCATGAACATCGCAAACTTCCTGTGGGTTTCAAGAGGACCATTGGCAGGATAGCATAAGAGACTCCCTATAGCTGCGGTGAGGTTTGCCTGTGATCATGTCCCATCTCCAGCCAATCTAGGATCCGGATTTGTGAAATGATGTGAAATGATTTCCTACATTTGGGGACCTTTACTCTGCCCACCTGCAGAACTCGTTGTAGTCATTTTTCTTGTTGCCAAGGTTGATGAACTTCCCCGGCACCTAAGCGCGTCCCGGCAACGGCAGAGCTGGGTGTGATGGGATCGAAACCGATTGAAACCTTGGCGTTGTTTTTCGCTGGGCTTTAGGCCTACGCCCATCCCACGCAGTACATGTTTCACTGGGAAGGCTGTAACACGTATGACTTAGCCTATGGCTTATGCAAATAGCGAGTTCGATTTTATCATACAATGAATTGCGACTGCCTACTCGAGGGGCTTCGCAAAGCTTCGTGCCCCTTCAAACATTGGAGAAATACGCAGCAGAACTTGGAGCTTTCGTTTGCATCCTTGCATTCCAAGAAAAAGGTGCTTAGTTGATTCTACCCTGAACAATCTACGGTAATCTACCCCCAAAGAAAACCGCCTGTCATTCTCCAGGCTCACCGGCAGATTGAAGCAATGCCACAGCCCTGGGGCTCCGATCCTTGTCCATGCTCATGGGACCACGATTTCCCGCAGACACGCATTCTAGGCCAAAATCTTCCTGCCGTCCCCAGGCTCACCAAACACCGGGGTGCCTAGAAGAAACTCGAGAGTTGACCTTCACTTGATCGAAACTTTCCGTGTTCCAGAGGGCAACATCGTTGCAAAGAAAAAATGGCTGATAGATGCTTTGTCCAGCCCACAAACAAGTTGCATTTCATTGCCTTTTACTGGGGGTTGTCGCAAACCCACTGTGCCGTGGTATCGTTCACCCGACCTGCAAAGAAGTGGAGTAGCACGATAGCAATGCAATAATCGCACCCACAGTACCTGTTGCCATTGACAACCCCTGCTGTAGCTGGGATTTGCAAGATCGGACTTTTCCACTCGTCAGACCGCTTCAGGAAACAGGTCTGACGCCTTTTGCAACAGGAGGAACATGACCAAAACGATACAAAAATAGCAAAAGCAGAGACTCCTCAAGTAGTGCATGCTTGTAAATCTTGCGGAGACCGAAGTCTCAACACATCACCTTTTTTTCCTGGGGACCTTCCAACCAGCTACGGGCCATCTGCTGCAGGACGGTCTCAGAGGCAACCCTTTTTCTACGACCAAAGGCGCCGTCAGACCTCTGAATGGCCAAGTTGCGATAGTATTCCGTTGGACTCCCTGAGATCTCCTGTCAATACACTAGTTCGCGAACTCAATACAGTAGGGCTACCAGGCTACCATCTTCTATACCATACCAGACCTGAAGGATCAGGGATCAAATCCAAATTTTAAGCGCAGCTGCGAGATGAGGTTCTACCCAAATACGACACATGCAGTCTTCCCTAAGATCCGGTCCTCCACTCCAGGGCTTGTCTGAATGCGTCCCTGTTTGTAAATCGCTAGCTCAGGAAACACGTCATCCAATTCCTTCAGGAAATCCTGCGGCGAAGACAACGCGAATAAATGGACTGGGGGCCCTTTGTTTTTTTTATGCTTTCTGGCTGGGATTGCCTTTGCAATTTGGCTGCTACCCTTGAGACACTTCTTCGGACAATCTTAGACTCTTTCACAGATCCTGTGTGCTGTGTGGATCATCTCCCGCAAAATTCAAAGGGTCACACACCCAATTCTAACAGAAGTAAAGTACTAATGTACCTGGGAGTACTGTAACTGTAAAGTAAAGATCCCAAACGGAGAATGAGTCCTGCCGACCCAACCCAACCCAACAGCCCCGAGAAACATCAAACGAAACAGCCTTGTTCTGCACTGCATCTGGAGCGGTCACTACACCACCACCGGCTTTGAGGAGATCGAGCAAAGGCTTCACCTGACACTACTATGGAACCGCATCTGCAAAAAAAACAAAGACTATTTGAGTGTTATTGAGTGTTATACAAAAACGAATTGTTCTGTGATGGAAATATCGTTAGTCTTGGGCAGAGTTTTGCCAGTCTTATTGATTCATGATTCATGGTAGCATCTCAACGTGTTCCTCAATCATGCAGCAATGTCGCACCATCAGCCGGAGTTATGATGATATAATTCTGTCTAGGACCAGGACATTTCAATGCCAGGATCGTTCACGATTGGCAGCAAACTTGATAGAACTGGTTTCGAGCACTGTTCATCTGCGATTCAAGCGACATCTGGATTAACGTCCTTTCATGTCGACATCCCCAGATCAGAAAAATCTCAACAGCTTGCCCATCGCAGGCACAGCGCCTTTTTGCCCGGCTCCACTGGAACCGTGCCTCGGCCAATTCTATGCTGTGACGAAGCCCACACAACAATCCTATCAACGTCTTTAAGCAAGAACGGACTCAAGCAAGAGTCAAAGACATATCCAAATCAAAACCCATCCTCGAAACATACTTCAAACATCTATCTTGAATCTTTGGATTGTTTTGCTCTGAGCCTCTCGTGCGAAACACAGCTAGCGTGGGGGGGGCACTGAACAACTTGGACGTTCCATTTATCGTTAGGATGCCTTAACAACCGAGACAAAGCTTTCATCATCAGCGACAGGCCGTTCAACAGTTTGTATATATGGGATTTAACAGCAAGGGAACTAGCCACCAGGTGCAAACTGCTTAACAACCAGGAAACTACATTTGCCATCAGGGGCAAACCGTTGAGCCAGGGCATTGCATGTATCATCTGCTTCATATGGCGAACAGATCAGAGGGGGGTAAGGGCCAATTATTGGATCGCTTGTGATCCTATTCACAAATCCATTTCTGGATCACTTGCGTCCTTGCGCACTTGCGCCGTTACCTTTTCTTCCCCCTCGCTCCTTGTCCTTCTTCTTGCTTGTTTGTCAAAATATGCCGCTCGAGTCTCAGTCTCTGAGAGAGGTGGAGTCATCTACGATTTCGTGGAGTGACTCGGGTGAATGAGTTGGGTGGTGGCGTGGGTTGGGTGGCTTGGGTTCCGTGGATTCTGCGCGGGAGGAGGTCGAGCCCCTGCTCATCTGCTTCCAAGATGCGACGGGGGGTTAAGTCTAAGTTATATATCCTAGCATGTTATTGCGCGGCTTAGGTCAGGGATAGCCAAATAATATAGCTCGTAATTGCGCGACTCATGTAGTGTGTAAGTAATACCACTGCACAGGTGAAGCAGGTATTGATTATAGACGCTGTAAGGATAAAATAGGTGTCGGTGTATGAGTGGATATGAGAACATGAAGTAAATGGATGGCTAAAAATTGTCTGTAAATTTTTGGTGTCGGATAAGGGCAATTACCGCAAGACTGTGTGAGAACGAGATGAAAACCTAATGTGATGTTATGCAACTTCGTGTGTTTATTGTCTCCATGATTAACAGCTCGAGGTCTGTAATGGTTGGTAAATGCAAGAAATTGTGTTTTTTACTGAGGGAGAAATCGAACGAAGACTATATAGAACTAGAGTTTAAGAATGATAATGGCTTTATGCAGTTTTGAGCCAGGTGCGCGGACTGAGCAGTTGTCGCGAGTGATTACTATACCTAGGTGCTCATTATAAGTACGTATGTTTGATACGCGCATGAAGCAGGAAATTGATTGATTAATGATGGGATGTATAGTTGTGTGAGATACATGATGGTTGACTAGATCTATATATTTAATAGGCCGAGTGGAATTGCCCTAGGGGGAGTGGGCAGCCAAAGCCAATGTGGCTTAGTATATAATTACATGCGGCTTAGTTTGTATGATCCGTTATACATCTAAGGTGTATATTAGTAACTTTTTCCTGAGTGGTGTTTTGGCTTCTAGTTGTGTGGGGGGGAAGGGGCGGTGGAGGGAGGGAGTCAGGGGAGGGGGGAGGGCGCGCATGAAAAATCACGCGTTTGGCATTTGGTCCGCCTCATCCCTTGCTACAGCAAGCTGTTGGAAACTCCAGCTACCGCTAGCTTTTGTGACAAGACGGATTGTCTTCCTTCCTACTTCCTTATCTGAACTTCCCCCCGCTCTAGTTTCCAAACAATGGATAGATTATATTCCTTCTCACTTCAATATCACTGTCTAACTTCAAGCTACTCAGCCTGCCACACATCACACATCCCTTCCTGACCACTTGCAGCCATACCAATCAAGCGCATGTACCGACAAATGTGACACATACAATGAAGTCACAAAAACACTTGCTTTGATTGCAACAGCCGTGTGAAACCAGTCAAATTCAAATCAGTCAAGCGGGCCATGATCGGAACGTTTCACAGGGTCTTAAGTGTTCGGTCAACCTTTGCCTATACATAGGTCTATGATCTGTCGAATCCTGTCGATGCATACAAGATGTCACGGTTGCTATGGGAAATCCTGCTTCGATGAGCCGCCCTTCAAGCAGGCACTGAACAGAATGACTTGCGGCCCCTAAGAATTTGCCTCATAGACAAATCACTTGTATACTTATACACGCAAGCGATAATACAGCCACAGGCCATCCACTGTAGGGCCGCAAGCGAACCCAATCTCCAAATGCTGCCCCTGCCATGCGAAAATGCAAATACGTAAAACACTCATGCCTTATTGGTAAATCCCCTACAACCCTTTATTTAGTGTCACAAGCGATCAAGCGAGAATAGGGTTACAGATCAACCGTAACCCAACACGAATATGCCTTTTCACAATAGAACCCAGTATTCGCTGTCTGATGCAGACGTTTCACAACTTGGACACAGCAGCATTGACCATCAGCGACGGACTGTTGGAAATTTGGAAGTAGGATTTGCCATGAGGGATAAACCGTTTACAACTCAATGCCTCACCCTGTTTTCTCCACATTCTGCAGGAGGTTTGACACGGCCTATTGGCCAAAAATGTCAATGACAACACCCCAGGAAGCAGCGAGGCTGGCGCGGGCTTTGGGAAGCTTGAGAATGGTAACGGCAAGTCGTTGTTAAATGTCAACAACTCAATGCCTCACCCTGTTTTCTCCACATTCTGCAAGAGGTTTGACACGGCCTATTGGCCAAAAATGCCAATGACAACACCCACTAATTTCAACTGAAATAGCCATGCAATCACCCATTCGATACAAGCTTGCCAGCTGCTTCCTGGAAAAACATTGGCCAAACACTTGCAGGGATTTGCATCCTATGCAGGCACTGTACATGTTCCAACATCCACGGAAAAAGAGCTGCTCCGTTGGTGATCTGTCGCTTCGATGCTAATGGCAGATTGGGGATAAATTGCATTGCAGAAATCTCCTGGACGTAGATCTCCATCACCTTGTTGGTGATCCCGACGCCTTGTCAAGTCGGGGTTGTCGGCAACAGCCATGAGCCATGAGGCACCACCCGCCCTGAGGCTCCCCAAATGTAACCCTCTGGTGAAGGACCTTGGAAGCCTGCCCAAACTATTCGCAGACACCTCATTGTTTGTCCAGAATAAGGCCAGAGAGGTTGTTTCTGACCTAAGCGACCAAAAGCCACAAGACATCCAGGACAGCCATCAATTGCGATTGATCGATCTTTGCAACCTGGTGCCGCGCCGCACGATACCTGGTCTTTGGTTCGTCGATTTGTAAAAGGGCATAATCAGCAGTGTACTCGATGTCTCTAGGTAGGACCAGCTGCCATCTGAAAGCCCCAAGGGCTTCGCCAGTCCTTGTGAGACCACCCCAGGACAGTGCTATGATTCCCGCCTCTTTCATCCAGCCCCAGTAGAAAGCTGTTGCCACCAAACTCAAAACCGCCTGCCACGGTAGCGCCAGATGGTGACAAGGAGGTTCTTGTCTCACCCATGCGTAAGCCAGGTCCCAGGCTTGTTGAAGCAACCTGCGTACACGAGGACGGCTTGCAACTCCGTTGATCGTTTCAGCATAATGGCCATAAGCCTGCCATACCTCTCTAGTTGCAAGTTCAAAATTCAATGTCAACTTCTGCCATCCCAATCAACGCTTCCAAAGAAAGATCGTCTTCCTTCAGCCACCTGCCGAATTCGTTCAGCAGCCTGTCTCGTTGGAGTTGGGTCTGTCCCAACACACGGCTTCCTTCGGGCATGTCTCCAGGATTCCTCGGGGTCAGCACTGGGCCATGGCTGACGCACGAAACAACCGGCACATACAGTAGGACCCCAACAGAAAATCTAAGACAACGAACGCGCACGCCAGGAACCCCAGACGGAAGCCCATACCACACACCAACCGGCCCACCACACGCAGGCGAGAGAAATCCACTGGCAAAATCCAAAGGCACCTTGCAGGAAAAGTCCAATGCATAAAATCCAAGAAGGCCCCTCACCTGGAAATCCAAGGGCGGAGTCAAAATCCACAACAGAGGCTCGATGGAGTTGCAAGGCAGCCAACTTCTGGAAAGGATAATGCTTGAACACATAGCCTGTATACCTCCACCTTTCTTCAGAACTAAACCAAGGAAGGAAAGGACCCCGCAGCAACACAACAAGTCGAACCCAGTTTGCCGCCGGCCTGGAAAGCATGGTGACCTCAGCAAAATCCAAGAGCTCCTCAAGTCCAGGTGAGGGAGGCCAGGCTGAAGCCAAAGGAGTGGGGCAGTCATTATCCCTGGCGCAAAGTGGTAAGCTGGATAAAGTCGACCTGCCACAATGGTGGCGCCTGTCTTTCTGATACAGGGGCGAAGTCCATAGGAGGGAGAGCGACCTTTGGCAAGAGCAGAAAGTCCAACATTTGAATCCAGAGCAACAACCTGACGAATGCCTGGGGAACTGAGCGCCAACTTTTTCAACAGCGACAGCACAACACGACTTTCCAGGATGTTGATGTGAAGTGGCTTCCTCCAAGTCCATACTGAGACCGTTTTCCACTTGGCACTAACCAGAACATCATTGCACAGAGGATTCTAAGGCCACGGACTTCAGGCTCTAAAAGGACACCCCTACGCAGCTTTCTGGCAATTGCTCGACTGAAAACCTCAGCTAGGGCTTCTGCTGGGTCATCCGTATAGACCGCAGAGGTTTTGGCGAACTGACCTTGCACCTTCACATGCTGATGGCTTCTATCGCATTTCCTGTGCAAGCACTGGGCAGCCAAATGGCAAAATAGGAAAACGAACTCCTTGTTGTGGACACTACCGTACATGCAACTTGCTGTCCAAATTTCCTCCGCTTTGCCTAGCTCCAAAAATCTTTGCCATTCATCCAAACGACGCATCTTGGTTCTTCGAGGCTGCTTCAAAAGGCCCGGGCAGTCCATGTCACTTGCCACATCCAGAAGTGAAAGAGATCTCAGCGCCAAAGTGCTGCCTGTCAAAGTATGAGGATCCAAAGGGTCATACCCTCGAGGCACATCGTAGCCCCTGGATGCCGGATACTGTGCTGGGGAAAATGTCGTGCAAGGAGGCTCCACCATGAAAGAATCCAAAAACCTTTTTCAAGCAAATGAAACACCCAGCTGATCACCCCTATGGAGTGCAGTTCATAGAAGGCAGACCTGTCAAGGTCGATGACGGGCCCTACATTCCATCCATGTCCAGACACAGCAGCAGCAGCAGCAACTTTCCCAACACCACCGCATACCGCCAAGAAATGAAAACGGAAAGCCATGGGTCTCTCAACTGCAAGCTCTATCTCATCATCAGGCAAAGCAGGCTCTTCAAAAGACGGGTCAAGCTTTTTGAGCAGGGCCTGAGAGCGGTTGAGCAACCTGATGTAACCACCATTCTTTCTGCCAGAACGCCAAAGTGCTCGGGCAACTTCTTCATCCACCTCTGCGGCAACTATCGCACCCTTCTTGTCTGAAGAATCGGTCGCATAGACAGTGGATGACATCTGGGCGGTCAAGTCCGTGGCCATCAAGGGGCTTAGGACTGCCAAAAGCCCCAGCTCCTGAGCCACAGTCCGTGTCAGCGGCAAGAGCTTTGGACCATCACCTCGCTTCTCATCATTCACAACAAAGCCAAAACTGGAATCCAACAGGGGCATCATAGGCCTGCGAAAAAGCAAGGAGTGAACCCATCCACCTACCAAGCAAAGATGCATCTGATCCGTAGTCCAACGCATTTTCGCAAGCTCCAGAGAAACATGTGCAAGGGCCATGCGCTTCGCAGCAGGCGAGGCCAAAGTGGCCATACCTAAGCCCCTCAGAGCGCCGGAGGTGTCAAGTTCAGCACCAGTGATCTTGGCCTTGTCTGCTCCAACAACATCTTTCTCTTTAGAGCCCATGATCTTTTGGTCTGCATAGGCCCGGGAAGCTTGAAGGAACTGGGAATGGGAAGTGGGCTCCTCATGGCTATCACCAACGCTCTGCACTGACACCGTGTAGAAATCATCAATCACCAAACCAGACGCAACCCTTTTCCACGGAAAATCCTGTCGGATCTCAGTTCATTACCATCTTTGAGAAATCCATAGTGCTTCAACAAGTTTCTGTGAGCATCAACCGCAAACTCAACTCCCAAATGGTCACCTTGAGGAATGCTGGCAAAGCAACCTTGAAACCACTCTGGGATCACGCTCCTCCTCTTGGGAAAACCAGAAGCGCCCTTCTTGAAGAAGTCTCCATGCTTCAGCCTGTCATATGTGGACTTCTTCAAATTCCTTTCACACCAAGACGCAAAAGCAAAAGTGCCCTCCAGGTCGCTTTGGTGGATTAGGGGCCACAAGGCATTTGAAGAGGCCCGCTCTTTGCTCACTTTGAACTGGTGATAGAAATCCTTTCTGTCAGAGATGTAAATGCAAACTTTCTCAACTCCAGGTTTCAACTCCAAATTTGCCAAAAGAAGAGCTGAAGGCAGACAACGTGATGCTCCGGGAATTGTGCCTTCAACATAGTTCATGGCCCTCCTATCTCCAATCATGCGGTCTGTATCCAGGTTTTTGTGGCAGTTGAAGAAGCGCATGGAAAGATCCACCTCATCCTAGGACAAAGGCTCATCACGCAGAAACAACAGGCCTTTCACATCCCAAATCTTCAAAAGCTTGCGGACAGCATCATAGTCTTCTTTCTCAACATCTGGAACATCACTAGATCTTGAAGTCCATCTGAGAGAAGAGGACTCACAAAAAGGCCATCCAAAGCGCATCAGAAAGAAATGGTGACGCATCCCAATTGCCGGAGCCTGATATTGTAAGCCTCTCAGGATTTGAGGCTGCTGTATGGTACCAACTCAGGAGCTCTTGTTTTGTCCACTGGAACATGCATCAAAGTTCCTAAAGACTCCTCAGAACCTTTGAAACCTCGAGAGTAGGACGCACCTGCCAAACCCTCCCACGAAACAAAATCGGAAAGGTCAGCCAGCTGTGAAATCAAAGAAATCGATCTACGGCCAATGGAGGGGATTTGGAAAGTGTCTCACAGCTACCGAAATCTTTGACCATTCTCCTGACTCCATCAAGGACATCTGGCTGGGAAGGTGAAGGGGTAAGCGCCAAAGAACTCAAAGGAGGGAACTTGAAATCGGCATGCCAGAAGTTCAACGCCATCACGGTGATATGAACAGCCTGGTCAAAAGCCTTCCGCCTTCGCTCTCTGGACCCTGCACCCTTTGACACATGAAAAACACCAACCTTTGGCAGAGGAGAGGGAACAACACTTTTGCAGACGCCACTTCGGACGAGAGTCCACTTCAGGAAACTTGCAAAAGGGGTACAACTGCTCAGGACCTGGTGACAAAGCGAAGAAGTCCAACGCAGGAAAGAAAAGGTCTGAAGGGGAGACCTAGTAGGCAATGAGTCATCGGCCGAAAATCCATTGGCCCGGCAGGATGGGGAAAAATCCAGATTCCAGGAACGAGGGCATGACTGGCCTACGAAGGGGACATCATCACTGACAGGGCTAGGCTTTGCTTTGCCCTGGCTTGCATGCTTCATGTGCTTTCTGCTTGGCTCTGGCCTCCCTGAGCTTTTGGCTTCTTGGGGTACCTGGGCTGCTTGGGTCTTTTGGCGGGATCGCCCTGCTCTTCTTCTGGCTTTCCTCCTCCTTGTCTCTTTGGTAGGGCTTCGGCACGGCGGGTGCTGAGCAAGTCCAGCTCTTTCACATTGCCAATCTGCTGGGCAGAGGGGCCCAAACGCTCTCAACCTTGGGTTGGTGGCTGGAGGCCTGTGAGCGAAAAGCTGCTGCGGCGGATCCTCTTGCAAAGAAAGAATCCAGGCAACTTCCCATTTGCCATTGTCCATAGCGCTCTGTTCTATGGCCACCATCGCAAGAGCAAGCATCTCCCGGGCACCTTTGACATCCTCCAACAGCAGCTGATCCGCAACATGGCCTAAGAGCCACATTGTGAGGCCCTGATCCTCTGGAAACCTGTGTAGCCTCCTTGCCTCTCCAGGTACTTGGTGAACAGAACTTTTTGGGGAAAGTCCGCCAAAGTTGATGGGACCATCTCCGCCAGTCTCAGTCGGCGATGAGCGTTCTGAACCACCTTCAAGAAAAACTCGCTCTTCCTGGCTGCAAGATCGGCAAGAAGGCGATCTCGGCGAGCAGATACTTTCAGGAAGATGGTCGAAGATGCTGATCCGGACCCTCCCAAGTCGCGGAGTCCATCTTGGCTGGCTATGTGGGACACCAGGGTATTCAAGGCCATCTGCTGCTTCAACAACACCTGCGCAACTGAAGCTTGTTGGGCATCCCCCTCCAGAGGCAAGTCCAGTTCCTCTAGAGGGGCTGTCGGCTCGTCCTCTGGCATCTGCTCTGGTTGCTTGGAAGGCTGAGGTATGCGAACTTTGGGCGGGGCCCCACCTGAGTCAGGAAGTGAGAAGGACTTGGCATGGGCTTCTTTGCGCCCGGAATCAAAAATCTAAAATCCTGACGGTGCGGAGCTGGAGGCAAGATGGGCTGCTGCCAGGGACTGCTCCAACTGATCCTGCCGGCGCTGCATAGCCGCAAGGGATGAAGACAGGGCTGGTATGGTCTCTGTCAAGGTGGCCAGCTGCTGAGACAATCTGCTTGGGTCTGGTCTGGCCTGCCTTGGCTGCTTGGGGTGACTGGTTTGCTTCCTGCTCCTCGAGAAACCAAGCGTAGGCTGCTGATAGCAGTTCCGGGGATGAAGGATACACCTCCAGATCGCCTTCCGAGAAACAGTGGATCCGAGGGGCTCCTGTGACTGGGTCTAATCCTCTCAACTCAACTGGGCAAGACAGCTGTGTCGAAGTCCACCAACAAACATTGGATCTGATAATCCAGAAGCCTTTCCAAACCAGCATCGTCGTCTGAAGCGGCATGAACAAAAATCTTCTTTGCAGGGCCTATCAAAGCTCGAGGAGGAGGGGACTCTTGTGGGTAGATCACCTCTGGAGGGAAAGAGTCCGCAGGGATCGCCAGAAGCAGACCGTCCCGTCCGGCAAGCACTGGAATGGCCAACACCTGAACTTCCGGAAGGGCAACTCCTGAAGCATGGTCTGAAACTTCTGGCAGCAGCAGCACGTACAGAGGGACCGGACCTTGATCCAACGTCTTCACACCTACTAGAGACAGCACTTGTGCGCCGGACTCCATCATCGTGATCTGGGCTCAGGAAAATCAATTCCAGCGGCCAAGCAGTACACCTTTCCTTCACAGAGAGAGGGGAAGGAGTGAGAGATGCTCTTGGGTGTGAACCTGGGGATGATCTGGAAGTATTCAGTGGTGTTGCCACCCTGGTGGGCAAAATGATGAAGGTGACAAGCCTCTTGTCCAGCTTTGGGGTAGCTAGGCCTTGGCCCATCAATCTGTCCTTGAAGTGTGGCCTTAGCCCAAGTCCAGCCTCCTCAGCTCGCTGGGTCCTCTGATTCCTACTGGAGAGCAGCACAGATCTGGCGGCAAGCAGGAAGAGCAGAAGTGATGAGCTGAGCAACTTCGTCGTGGCTGGAAATCCGGGACGCCGACAAGCCAGACGACTGGGCACCGACAAAAGAAGTCCAATGAGCAGATTCCAAGTCCAAGTCCCAAGAAGGAACAGACTCCGGGGCCCGGGGGCCAGCAGAAGCAGAGCTTACGGCCTCGGCACCGTTCAGAGCAGCCTCAAGTGTATTGGCAATCGCCCGCAGGGAAGACACAGCACTCCTAATCGCGGTGGTTAGGATGGAGTGTGCGCTCATGCAAGTAGGCTAGAAGCCGGGCAGAGGATGTGGGACAAAGAGGGGAAGTGATGGTGGAGCACTGACAGGAAGGCCGTAGGACAAGCAAAAGTAGATGTAAAGTCCAAGACACAAGGTTAGAACAACACCCGAACACCACAACCCAGATCCAAACAGAGCCAACAAGTAGGGAACAGAAGTCGTGCAATGGGCCGGACACACCAGACCGAACCAAGACGAACCCGAACCTACCGCCAGCAACCGAAAGACCTCTTCGAACCACGGGGGCATGAAGCTTGAGAATGGTAACGGCAAGTCGTTGTTAAATGTCAAGAACTGGGACATATAGCATGTCGTTTACAAGCGAGCCACTTAAGAACTGGGACATAGCATTACTACAGCATTGCCATCAGGGACAGGCAGTTGACAACTGGGACATTGTAGTGACCACCTGCCATAAGTTTAACAACCGGGACATCACAAGGCTTTTCTATCAGAGACAGGCCTATAACAACTGGCACTAACAATCAGGGACAGTTATATTTTTGAACTGGGACACAGGATTTACCATCAAGGACCGGTCCTTGATTGTTTTTGTCCAACTTTGCAAACTCTCTTCTGGCCAAAAACTTGGGTACGCACTCCATGACGCTGCGTCAGGTCGGAGTTACACTCTTGGACGATTGGTTGAGGTGTTAGGCTTTGAATGCACACTTCGTAATTCCAACCATGACAGGTTGCTGTGGCAAATTGGACCAATCATTTCGGGTCCCAATCTGCGGGTGGCTATTTTCCTCTTAGAACTTAAAAACCCGGATTGCCATTTATGGTCAAGGCCTTGGGCATCCGACCACGGCCAGAGGGCCCCAGGTATTTCACCACCCTACTCTGGAAACTCTGGGGACCACACTGCAAACAGCATTGCCCATGGCCGCCGAACCTCTGCCCGCTAGATGCGGCACCAATCTAACCACAGCATCTGCCAAAGCTTCTAAGTTTTTCTAAGTCTAAGTATTTCAAAACTATCAGCGCCTAAGAGTTACAAAACAGGCTCCAAAGCTTGCAAAATTCAGTGGCTGAACAAGAAGCCAAAACAACAACTGACCTTGGCTTATAAGCATGGGAAACTGATTTGCCTAATTTTGGCTGCGGGGGCCATATTCAGACAACCGAGCAGGGTAGAAGTGTGACACTGATTACTACCAAGGACTTGGTGCCAAAAAGATTCAAAAAGATAAGTAGAATATGATCGAATGGTCCTATCGTCCTTCAACAACCTCGGTGAAAATTTTGTTACAGCGGACAAACAAGCGAGAAAAATCGTTGTATTCTGAGAGTAGACCGCTTTAGATGCCCTTCCCAACATGAAAAATTGTCCCTATAATCCCCAGGTTGCACCTGCGTGAGACCTCAGAGCAGTGCAGAGTTGCCAAGCCACAGAACTCCCAAACTTCGTCAAGTCCAAATTGTCAGAACTGCAGCAGTATTCAACATGAAATTAATTCATGGAGATTAGTCTTTGCAGCTTCACGATACTGCTGGTAGCTTCATTGCGTTCTTGACTCGCCTACAAGCTTTCAACAAGTCTGAGTGTCAACACACGTGGATAGTCTGGTTTCGAATGGAAGTACAATACCAAACAGGAACGCATCTTCCATGTCTTGTAATAGAGCAAACAGGAACTCTTTTGAACCCTTACAGTGCTTTCTTGGGACGTGCCACAAGTGAAGTTGCTCGAAGCATGACAATACTGCTGGAAAGGTCCCATCTGAAGATATTATAATATTATATATATATATATATCAAATTTATAAAATTATATATGAAGATATACACATACAAATTTTATCACATTTTCGTATATAACTGAATTGCTAAACCTTCTTCGCTGGCAAATTCCGTAATAGAGTCTGCATTTTTGGGAAACCTATAGTCTTACCTCAATTGCATGGAATTGTCAATAATTTTCAAGGACTTATTAGCATCTTCTAACTTACAACCACAATGGCCCCCACTAGCCGAGCAACGGAAGAGAGCAAGTGGCTTGGAGGAAATCTGTACTGTCTATACCATCACCATGGTGTCAAGTCGAAGTGATGTCTCTACCCGAACCCAACAGCTGTCGAACAAGCAATGGCAGCGCCGGACGCACCATAACACAGTAGAACTGACTTGAGATGCGGAAGAAGTTTCAATTTGGGCCTCCCATCTAGCTTGTGTGGTCTGCGTGGTGCCCTGCCCTTTTTAATTCTGCAGCATTTGCTTTGTCAGAACTTTCAGTTGGTGAGAAACTCGCTTGTAGCCGATAGTAAACATAGCACTTGTTCTGGACCAAAGCAATGCGCCAAACGTTACAGTAGCTCTTGCAAATTGCTTCCCAACTCAGCTAAAAAAGGGGCCCAACTCAAGCTCTTCATCAATCTTGGACAGACCCGACCTGAAAACATATCTTGCAAAGAAAACTACTACAGTCCACCAGTGGATCCTTCACAATGCTTGATCTGCTTGATCCATAGGCTACCCCGATTCCCAGTCTCGGCTTCCCAGGCCACTGTCCTGTAGACACTGTAGACACTGTAGACACTGTAGATAGTCGTTGCAGTGGTTGCAGTGGTTCCAACATGTGGGGTGCTCTTTGAAACCGGACGCTTCGGTCCCAAAACTTGGCACCATGCACTCCCAAATGTTTCCCGATACTCGTCGTACTAGAAGTCCCTTGTGACAGGAAAATCATGGAACTATATAACCTATACAAACGGTGAATTGAGTTCCTCAACGCACCAAAAATCCAATGGTCTAAAGCCTCATTCCCTGCTTCCTGGTGGTTCGGGGGTGAAGGAATCCTCAAACTCAATATGGCCTACTTCTGGAGCTACTTGCTGAATGATCGTAGTCCCAAAATTCAAACCTTGGGCCACCTGCATTTTGGGAAACTAAACTCTTGGTTTATATAAAGTTTAAACAAACAGTGCTGCTTCTGGGTTTCATGAGTCAGCCTCTAGAGACTATCGTATCCACTCACTAATCTCAAAAATGAACCATATTGAACATATGTATATTCTATAACTATTCATGCATTTATTTCTTTATTTATCTACTTATTTATCTATTTCTTCATTTTTCCATCTATATTATATAGTATTAACTGGATCGATGGTTCATGCAAACCTCTCATTGAATGTGTTGAGGATGCTGCATGCTGCTGTGTTTGAGTTTAGCGGCATCGATGATAGCACCATGATGAAGGATGATTTCAAGCTGAGAATGATCACTGCATTTAAACCGATCGGACAAACACATGGTTGGCCACTTGGTATTTCGACCTGACACCCCAAATCGCCCCAGGAAAATGGCTCAATTGCGGGACCGACGTGCCATGTCAAAATTCCACAGACTCCCAAGACCCACCACTGTTGGTGCTTGGCTGCATGGGTTCAATCTGATCCAAGGTTCACACACATCACAAAGTGGAGTCCTGGTGCCATTTACACACAATTGCATGATGTTGGTCTGAGATCCGTACTTCTGGGAGGAGCGGGTGGGGCTGCCTCAGCAATTTAAGGGCCAGGGACAAAGTGAAACGCCACATTTGGGGCTGAAACGCCGCCGCTAGTGCTGTGGCTTCTTTTTTGGGCCAAACTATGATGCTTCCAACTGACTGGCCCAAAAATATTAAAGAAGTTTACAGTAATTTCAAATTGAATCCTGAGCCCATGTGTGGTACTTTTCTTGGGTCTCCATCTTCATCCCAATATTGCCCTCGTTTCAAACATATTGGTTTCTTCCAACCAAAGACACCTTCACCCCAAACCAGGTGCCCAAGCTGGCAGCCCAGCACGAAGGGCCTCCTGCCGAGCAAGCTCCAACTCTTCCGCCTGTCACGGCAACAGTTTCCCAACTAACATTGGAAGACATGTGGAAGACATGCACGACACAAAAAGACACAACGGAAGACACAACGGAAGACACTGAAAACACTGTGATATGTCGAACATGTCGGACATGTCGATCAGCTTTGCCCAGGTTTCTGCAACAAATGTCGCTCTCAACCTGGAGGGTCATCTTAGACCAGTATTACAACTATACCAGGTTTCACATACAACCAAAGTTAATGGATGAATGGTTCTGATATGTGGATTCACTTGGTTTCATTCATGGACACCTTCATTTGTGCGGGTGACAAACTTAGGCCAAGATTCAATAGGTGGTCTGTGACGGTTTGTGATGGGTTGTCATGCTTTGTGGTGGTTTGTGATGGGCTGTGATGCTTTGTGGTGGTTTGTAACGGTTAGTGATGGGTTGTGATGGGTTGTGACGGCTTGTGCTGGTTTGTGATGGTTTCAGTTCGGTTGTGATGGCTTGTGATGGGTTGCGATGGGTTGCGATGGGTTGTGATGGCTTATGATGGTTTCAGTTGGCTTGTTATTGTTTGTGCAATTTGTGCATGTGTACATATGTGCAATATCTTAACTAGAAACCAATGGACTTGGGCCTGGGACCTTTCGGGCCCTGGACCCTCTCATGACCTTGGCCGTCTCAGCTGCTTTGACCTTCAGGTATCGCGCCAAGAGATCCAGAAGAAAACTCTTCCCCGTCCTGTACCTCGCGACGACTTCGGCACATTCAATAGAGATTGATCTGAAATTATATACAGTAAATCTTTAAATGTACGTATATATTATATATATATACATTTTTTGATGGAATTTCAGCGATTTATCTCGCTTGCTTTCTGAAAGAATCGCATGTTGTGAAATTAGAGTCAATCTTCTGAAAGTCTTGAGTTAAGAAACTTCTCAGACGTGCCAACAAACGTATTGTCAAGACCTAATTTTGTCAAACAACAGATCCGCACTGGCAGACCAGACATCTCAAACGCACCGTGCCCCAATCCAAGCCATCAAAATAGAAACAAAGTGAAATCAAGGATACACACTTTACTTAGAACGTACTTATGTCACATATGTCAACAATTTGAAATGAAAAATATGTACATTGTAAAGGTTCAAGGCCCGCCCCATGCGAAATGGTGGTGAACGATCCAACAGATTTGGAGACTTTCGTCTAGTGTTTACGTATGTTCACGTGTTCCCAAACGCTTAACTTGTAATCAGCGGGCAAACCACAAGGTCCCACCAACTGCGCACGTGCCCATCACCGCAATGACGGACACAAGGCTTGCACCAGAGTCATCGATGCGGGTGCCTCAGGTGACAGAACCGGTACCTTGCATTACCTTGGTATTCTTACAGATCTCACCCCTAGGTTCACTAAGGAAATTTGCGCACTGGAAAAATCGTCTCAGTGGTCTCAGGAAGGTCATGATCTACATGGATCTACAAACAAGGCAGTTCACCAACAATTCATTCGAGGCACTGGTCGTCTCAAGGACTGGCAAAAGCACCACACAACCACGCTAGACCATGTTAAAGGCCATGGCAAACAAAGCAGCTACAGTTTGATGCTGTGTTCACAAAGTCAGCCCCTCTGCCAAGATGCAAATTTGTTGCAGGTTCTCGGTCAGGATTTCCACCTCGGATGATTCCTCAGTAAAAACTTTGCACTGGTGCGAAACGAAAAAAAATCCATCGTAGTAACTCCTGCCATTCGGAGCATACTAATCCTCGAAATGGTCTTAATCGTCCTTGGATGATGGGTTTGTTTGTCATGGGGTACACGTGCAGAATCCAACAAAGGTGAACAGCAAGGTTTCACGGCAATCCCAAAGCGCCAGTCCGTGCGCAGGGGCCAGGGCACCAGGCAGGTTTCAGTTCAAGAATCTTCAGCGGCGTGTTTTGCAATCCTGACAAGTTGGCGACAATCAATGAATAGGTGCCCCAGGACAGTCATGATAAGGCTATGCTAATTGGATCTAATTGGTCCTGAATCCTGTCCAATTAGGATTGAAATAATATGTCAGTATACTAGGATTGCTATCACCAGAACCCGGAATCATATATCATTTTGTTCTTAAAGGCCACAAATCCGGATTCACTGAACTGTGCATTTGATCAGATCCTCCATTATGACTGGAACACCAATGGATTCATATTCGACAATTGCTATTTGCAACACCTCACTCCGCATGTCCTTCGACACGAACGTCTGTGCTCAATACATGCACACACTGTGAAACCAATTTTGACACATTGTTACACCACTAAAATAATCCCGCTCGTCAATCTGCACTTTGCAACGTCGAACCATTCAGATTCATGCAATTCGACCTTTTTGATGCACCAATGGTGTCCGTTTGATACTTGTCAAAAAAGTATATATTGGAATCAAAACAAATCATTTTGTCGCATGGGGGTCCTGCCATCGCACACCCGACTTGTTCAACTCGTGCTGGACGCCCGGTTTTGGGGTCGTGGCAGCGCCCCGCGGCACACGGCGCCCGAGGTGACTCAGCACGAGCACGTTGAGCACGTTGGCCACATGTCGGCGGTTGAACCAAATGCGCTGGCATTGTTGAATTTTGAACATGCAAAATAAACATGCTGAACAATTTCACATAACGTGCAGCACACAAAACATCACATTTGACAAACTGAAACAGTTTGAAGTTTTTGAATTGCGCAAGTTTCTTCTCACCACTAATGTCCAATTTGTTCTGAATTTGTTTGAAATTGTTTCCAAATGTAAGGCCCTTTTTTTTTCATATTTCCACGTGTCCCCCAAGTCCAACAAACCAACCAAAAACGTATAGTCATTGCATCACCTGGTTCGGCAAATCCCACATAATTATTTTCCAATTCAAAAGTGATGTTACATCTTTGCCCGATGAACTGGACGTAAAACCACGGGCCTTTGGTTTATGTTATGTGGAGAAAAAAAACTGACCTCTATCATAACTGCTGGACCTTGCGAAAGAATTGTTTGTTGAGTGGTTCTCACGGGCCATCATCCACCCATAATGGGTTTCTAGCAGGTAAAAATTACGTAAGTGTATACACCAGCCAAAACCCTCCCAACTCAGAGGGCCAAACCAAAACCTGTATCGGCCCAGCAGCTTACAAATCGTCATGGTATGTACAAAATTTTATATACCGCGTTTATGATTTGTGAACCCATCATGCTGCGGTGTTGTGATAGTTCTATCAAGTTCTCTTCAACGATGTTGAGCTGTTGAACGAAGTGATGCGCGATGAAAATTTCCGAAAAATGGTTTGATGCAAAAGCTGAACGTGAAATCGCACAGCTACACTCACTGTTTTGATCCGCAGGGCCTCAAAGATAAATGCATTGAGGTTCATCCATGTGGCATGTGACATGGACTGCAAATGCTTGTTACACTTCTGATTTGTGCGTGTCATCCCATGACCTATGTGACATGAGAGCACAGTGCACAACATTTTGGACTCCTCCTTTGGAGGTTGAGTTTCAACTAAAGCTCCAATTCCCTTCTCGGGTTCTGTGCTCTGTTGTAGCACCCTGGGCATTATACGGAGTTGCCCAGATTCCGATTTCAGTTCACCACGCCTTCTTGTCACTTGTTATTCGAACCAAAAAACCCTGATTCAAACAGGATTCAAGTGCACCAACTCAAGCTGTGAAAGACGTAGCCGCAAGCCGCTTTCTTTTTCTAATCGGGGGTACATGTCGTTGATCGAGATTCCGGTATCTCGGATGGCTTCTGTACAATTTCTGACCCAACCTGCTGCTGGTGTCTACTGGCTTTGGTGCCTTGTTAGGATGGATCGGTTTCCATTTTCCCCCCCTGTTGTAGGGAGGGAGGGAGGGAAAACAAAAAGGTGATTTGATTGTCCGAAATGTGATGATCCATCAATCCAATTGTTCATACCAAATTGCATGTTGCATGTAACATCTTTGATGATGAAGAGATATGAAGTGAATTGGATTGGCAAGACTCAGATGTCTTGTTTGCCTTCTTTGTTGAAGGTCTTTAAGCCAAACGTTATGGACATTTTCAGGATCATCCCAACTCCCTCAGACCATGTCCAAAATCTGTTCAGTGACTCAGCGACATGTCTCATCAATAAGTTTCATGAACAGATTTTATCGGTCAATCAAATACGAAGGTTCCTTGTTTTACAACCAAGATTGTTGCAAGGCAATAAGAGGTTTTTTGGTCGTTTTGTGAAATTCCCAAAACTGTCGAATATTTGTTCCAAGAAAGTCATCTCCACGTTGTGTAAAATCCCTTCTTGTCACTTGTTATTCGAACCAAAAAGCCCTGATTCAAACAGGATTCAAGTGCACCAACTCAAGCTGTGAAAGACGTAGCCGCAAGCCGGTTTCTTTTTCTAATCGGGGGTACATGTCGTTGATCGAGATTCCGGTATCTCGGATGGCTTCTGTACAATTTCTGACCCAACCTGCTGCTGGTGTCTACCGGCTTTGGTGCCTTGTTAGGATGGATCGGTTTCCATTTTCCCCCTTTCATTAAACCGACTTGATCACTGGCTAGTCATTGGTCTGTTGGCGGCTCTCACTAACCAGTCTACCACTAACTGCTGGCACTGGAACCCTTGGATGAATTGGGCGCCCCACCGTCTTGATGCTTTCTCACCTTCCATCCTAGACGGCTCATCTGCAGGATTGCTCTTGCTGGGTACCCTTTCTATCCACCAAAATGACGGCAAATGCACTTCAATCGAGTAGAAGGCCTTTATCAAGTCATCCATTGATTGACTGTTAGACCGGCCTTTGATGGCCCCCCCCCTTGCTGAATTGTTGTCGACAAACAGGAGGACTCTACGGTTATGAAGTTCACGCATCCACTGCCAGCGCACCAGGACCATGGCCAGGAGCTCTATCTGACAGATCAGTTGCTCCCCAACCTGATCTGCCCACAAATCCAACAAACTTCGGTGCACCTTATCTTGCACAACGAGCTTAGAACCCGTGGTTTCGTCCAAGAGTACAGCCCCCAAACCTCCAATACCATTTTCCCAGGCCCCATCCGTGAAGATGAGAACTGTCCGAGTATTGATGGTTACCGGAATGGTTCGGGGTTGGACGCTTCTGAGTAAAACTAGAACTTCCTCGCACCATTTTTGTAATGGCTTGGACCGGGATTCGCCCTTCTCCACAAGGCCAAAAATTTTGAAGCATGAATACCTTAAGGCTCTCCCCGAAAAGTATCCTGTTGCAAAATTCAGGAGGCCATGGAGTTCCTGAGCTTCGGACAAACTCATGTTGCCCTCTTTTTGAATCCCCCCTATTTTTGAAGAAATTTTGTCTACTCTCCCTTCCTTGTTTTTCAGGGTCACCACCCCTGCTCGGTGCAACGAGGACAGATCAAGTGTCAGGCCCAAAACGTCAAACGAAGGCGCGAACGGTTTTCCTTTCGGACCCGTCCTATCATGTCGCCAACCCAAGAGGTCCAAGAAATCTGACACCATAGCGTCCGTCTCCGCCGCGGCTTTTTCTGGGGAGAACATGGGGTAATCATCAAAGTACACCGCCGACGGTACCTTCAGAAGAACATTATTCAGAAACCAAAGTGATCGGCTGATCCGGTTAAAGGCATAAACAGCCGCTGTCGACCCAAACATTAAGGAATTCGGAATATAGTACCTAGCTTTCCCGGCGCTATCCCTGAAGAACACAACTGCTAGGTCCCGGTGTTCCGGCTTAATGGGTAACTGTTTATAGGCTTTGGACAAGTCCAAAGTTTTTCCTACCCAATTCAGGCCAGCCCTCTTTCCGAGTTCCAATGTCAAAGCAATCACATAGTCGGCATCTTGCAAGTCCAATCTAATCGTCGAGGTGTAAGCCGAGTTCAGCTGCGCCTCCAACCCATCATCAATCGGACGCAGTTTCGAACCCTGCTCTATGACGAATCGCCGCACAATGCGCCAGTTTCGGTGGCCCAGGATTCCAGTCACTTCAGCTTCCGAGTGGTACGGACCATCTAGAAATGACATGCTTACTTCCTCTTGTGCCGTCTCCTCCAAGTGCTCAGCGAACCCAGGTTCATTGGTTTGGGGCCTCCTATGCTCCAGGGCAAGCCTGCACGGCAAGGCTGAATCTCTGAGCTCAGCTTCCGTCGTGGACGCCAGCTTGATCTTGAGAGGGTAGCACTTAGGATGATCGTGAGCTCCCACTAGCGGCACTCCCTCTTTCATGAACTTCACCACCTCCATGTCATCATACCCTGACTGCTCCAAGAGCTTTTGCCAGAGTAGGATTTTCTTCCCTCGGACCACTTTCTCAACCGATTCTGGGAGGTTCTCGTGCAACTTCTTCTCCTGACCCTCCAATTGCTTGGCTAATATCTTAGCCTTCAACAAGTTCTTCTTCCTCTCAATGGACACTAACTCTGGTGAATTACAAGCTACGTACTCAATCGCATCTCTTGTGATGTGTTCCAAGGCATTCTCATCCATTGGATGGGTAACGTTCCTGGCTTCTTCCACAAATTGCATCGGTGTGTACCAAGTTCCCACCAAGACGTCTCCTTCTGACCTTTCTTGTGAGTTCCCTTCCTGGCATTCCCCCCTTTGAGATGAAGGGATCAATTTTTGTTGGTCGGTGAGGCTAATGGTGGTCGGGAGCCACTTGGTTGTGACAAACTCTGGGATGAGTTGGTTTCTCTTTTTATGCTGGCGATGTTGAGCGGCTAGGGTCTTTTCTCTAGGGATTGGGGGTATAGAAAAGGACAGATTTTTGGATACCAAAAACTTTTTGACTGCCGCTGCAACTCTGGCCGCCAGCAATTGTGGATATGCGGCCTCTGCGGATGTGTCGAATGTCCATGTGCCATCTTGAGATCGAACTTGATAAGGCAAGTGGCTGTGGTCATTTTTGCAATGTGCTGTGAGCTGATCGAAGACACCTGTAGTTGATTTCCAACGAGTGCCCTTTTTTCTTTGGCCTCCATGGCAGCAGTTGTGAAAGAAAATTTCTGTGAGTGAATCCCAAAACTTAGTAAGATCCGGATTGTTCTGAGCCTGAACATATGCCAAAATGGCTGCCCAGAACCAAGATCTGTAAGGGTTTTCCAGGCTGATCACGGACCTATATTTCATGGCGATCAGGAGGATGTCGACTACAAATCTGTACAAGATGTTCGCTTTTGTCAGTCTTACGCCGGATGTGGATTCTGGATTAATGTGGGGTAAGCCTAATGGATGGTCTGCAGACCTCAGTGGAGGGGGCTGGGGGGCCCCTTGATTAATTTTATTTTGAGCAACGGGCCTTTCCCGGGCTCGGGAGGCGGTGCCACAAGGCATTGCTAAGTGGATATAATCAGGCGGTCTATTATTCAAAAGATCAATTAAGATTTTCTGATGGCTAGCCTGTGTCAAATCCAAAAGGGTGACAGGCACCTGGGGGTCGTGCATGACATGGTCCACTGCAAGGACTGAGAATCCAACATTTATCAACTCTCTTGAGAGTGATGCCTGCCCACAACAGATTTCTACTGCAAAGGGCTGCTGACTATGAGGTGAAACCGGGCGTGGCGGATTTTGATGTGTCGGGGGACCGCCGGGGCCCTGCATTTGTCACTCGGTTGAGTGACTGCATTCATGATAGGGCTTGGGCTTATGACAGCCCTGCTTGTAGCACAGGTGATATCCTCTTTGGCATCTTGGGCCGGATCCTTTAAATCCACACACGCCCTTGTTGAAGGCAAAACACAGCGGTTTGCCCTCTGGCGTCTTTGTCACACAGTCAGGCGGGATGTCAATGGAGCCTGACTTGGTCTTTGTCTTGCCCTTTGTCTTGCCTTTGCCCTTACCTTTCTGATACTTACCAGGGCGATCGGATGCGTCGGATGTCGGCCTCTTGTCTGGCTTAGGATTGGTCTTGGGTGCAGGCCGGACTGGCATAGGCATCAGGTATGGCATCAACTCAGGGGATGTTCGCAGCGCCCTGATTTCCTTGTCCAAGGGCGTCATGGAGCTGCCCGGTTCACCCTGCAGCTGGCCAACTAGATTGTTGGACGCACGGATGAACATCTGCTTGTCGCATTCAATGATCTGCTGCAGAGTGACTGAAGCAAAGCCTGATGGTTGAGCTCTTTCATGCGATAGAAACAGATGTTGTACCCACAATTCTATCTCCTTAAATGAACAGAGTTTGGCTTGGTCCATTGCTAGAGATCTGCGTTGCAGAGCATTTCTAAGGTCCAGCTCTGAGCTGACAGCGCAGGTGGTGCTCACCGTCTTGGACGTGATCTTGATGGTCCCGCTTGCATCCAGTGACACCTTTGGGTCGCGCTTCAAACTCTGGATCTCCTGTGATCGTGATGTACACTCCTCCGGTTTGATCCAAGTTAAAACATTCTGCTCCAACATGTTAACGCAAAGATCCACCAGTGCATGGCTTGGAGTTACCTCGGGTGAGAACATGATTCCCTCCAGCCTCGTCTCCTGCTCTAACTGGCGAGTCTGGCGTTCTGCCATGGGTAACTTTCGATGAGATAGCTGGGGATCGGAAGGTTGGTCAACCTTCTTTGCAGATCATTTAATGCTAAGGCATGGGACTCCACCACCAGTCTACGGATGCATGATGTCTGATAGGGGCTCAGATCTCTATTGGTGACCTTCAAGAGCCATGCATCCAGAATCGCATCTGTGATCTGTTGCGGGGTTGTCGATACTGCGAATGCCAGAGAACCAAATGTCTCAAAACCTTTCGTCTGCAGCTCTCCTTTCAGTTCGTCTTCCACCCCTAGTTGCCTCATTCTTTCTGCAAATGCGGCCTTACTATCAAGAGCGGACATGGCTGGAGTTCGATGTTATGAAGGATGAAAAATTCAGGAGATCACATGTTGACCTTTGCTTATATCTGCAGATTATCTTGCTTGTCTGGTGTGGTTTCGAGTACATAAAGTGCCTTTGGATTACACTATGAATTATCCCCACTTCCATGTCATCACCTCTCTGATGAGGCTGCCTTCCCCGAAAATCGGGCTGCGGGCAAGTAACAAGAGTGTTTCATGTGAGATCTGTGGACATGTATCTGTAGCAACTATGCCACTGGCTCAGATGCCACAGCAAGTGACTATTCTTTCGCTGTCAGTGCTTATCAATTGTGGCTCTGATGCCACCTTCCTTCTCACATGCCCCCAGCCGCGCTACAGTGACCTTTTTGACCCCGCGACCGATCACTGCTCTGTCTGCAGTTGCCTGAAGAACTCTGTTGTTCTTTGGAGGTTAGGAAGTCTGTGATGATCGATCTTCGATGATGCTTTGGATATCCAGCACCGTTTCCTGGGTCAAAGATATGATGGTTTCAAGCGGTTGATTCGGAGGGCACGCAAGGATCCATTCTTCCAGCACTGACAAGGTCAAATCGGCTTCAAGCTCCAAGGTTGTTCGGTCCAGCTCACGTAGTGATCGGAAACCTCTTGGATGCTGGTTGATGGCACCCAAAGAAGATATACTGATGTTCAAGGTGTGTTCCATGGGCACACCGCGCATGATGCACAAGGCCCTTCTCGCCAACACCCACACTGCAGCGAGGTGCTCAGTGATGCATGAGTAGCCGATGTGCCGGATCACCTTCGCTAAGAAGTCGGACATTCCTTCAACTTTATACAACAACTCCGATGTAATCGATCGGTCAACCTCTAACCAAGCACAGATTGTGACCAAAAAGACTTCGGTGGCAGATCCCGCCATTGCTAAGACCGGATATGAAGGGATATGAAGGGGGGCTCGGAGGTCGGTTGGTTTCCCTGTGAACCACAATACAAGATCTCTGCTGATCATCTGTTTTCCTTTTGTAAACGGTCACATCCATGAATGATGAGCCTCTGATGGCCCTTAGTGGTGCATGTTTCCACTTACAATCATGATTCATGAATGATGAACCTCTGATGGTCCATTTGTGAAGGTATAGTGTCAGCTTACCATTATGATTTCTCGATGCTACTGGAAATTTCACTGCTAGGGAAAGTGCATTTCTAACTCACACCCTTTTTCTCTCTTTCACGCGGCGATGTTGCTCAGTTGGCGGCCGCACAAAATGCAGCATTCCATGTCGTCGATGGCTGCTCTTTCCAACGCAACATAATTGGCAGAAACATGTCGGCCACACAAGGTTGTGGCACCGGACGAAGTCAACCCATGCACAATTCCACTCTTTCTGTGGACAATGCAACTGACCTCGTGTTCCCCCGGGAATGGCTTCCTACCAACCGTTTCTTCCTGGGACTCAAGGACCCCAATCAAGCCCTGCTCTTCTTCCGAAGATTCGGATGAAATTTCCCAAAGGTCGGCTGTTTCCACTTTATCTGCTTCCAAAGGGGCAGCGTCGACTTGGACTGGAGGGCCTGAGGCCATGGTGTCCGCAGCCTCGATTATTCTCTCTAAGGCCGACGAGTCAGGGCGGAAGTTTCCGAGCTGTATTTCCCGGAAGCACGCCAGGATTTTCGCGTAGAGACTTGTGTAGGCTTCCCTACTGTAAGTCAATACAGAGCGATCGCCTGGCTTGATGTGGTGGCCAAGAGTTCTCCTTTCAGCCATGCTGAATCTGACTGTAGTTGATCTGGCCGCCATAGTCAACAGTCCAGTCTTCAGAGGGTGAGTCCCCAAATTTTGGACATCGAGCTTTGGGAACGGGTCCATCAAATGTCTGACCTCCTCCACGAAGTCCTGAAGGTATCCACCAGCCTCGGAACTGGACATAAGTGTTGAGGACCACCTCCCTGTTCTGCATGAAAAGGATGGTAAGAAGGGTTCTGGTTCCCTTCCCAGCTCTTCCACACGAGCGTCCAACCACTTTTCTGCCCAGAGCATGCCACTCACTCCAGTGCCGATCGCAACGTATGGTAGCAATCTGGTTTGTGCCTCTTTTGTCACCGATGTCTTCGATCCCAATGCTTCGCCAGTGACCAACGCCACATCTTTGATCTTCTCCAGCTTCAGACACTGAAGTCTCATTGAATCAGACCACCGACTTGCTGCATGAAAACACCACAGGAGTTGTCCCAGTATGCAAGTCTGAACACTATCCTCTTGCCTGAGCAAGAGTTTCTCCAGCTCGGCCACTACCAGGCATGGCATTGGATCTTTTTGCTTGAGTGGGGCTTTGCGTAGGAATTGTTGGTGGGCGAAACCCGTGACTCGGGGCGACAACACCAACCCCAGATCAGCACATGTTAGAACCGCCACCGAATCCAAGAATCTCAAGGCCTCCAAGAAGCTCGATGCTGCTGTTGCACCGGCTTTTCCACTTTCTAAGTGTCCTAGATACGAATAGATGTCAAATTCCTTCAATCTGAGTGGGGAGCCCCGGTGATTGAGCAATAAAAACCATTCTACATATCTCGTTAGGGCACATGCTCTCTTATAAAGAGTATTTGAGGATTTTTTCGAGAAGGCTTGTTCAAGGGACTTACGGATGTCATGGTCGGACAACGGTTTGGATGATACAGGAACTAAAAGTTCTCCTAACCTCGTCGTCGGATCCATGAGCAGGATGCTCTTCAGCTTGGTCAAGCTGGCATCTCTCAGGTCGTCGTCGGATCGGGCGATCCTGACTCTCCGTACATATGTCAAACGTTGGATGGCGTCCAAACTATCCCTGGCTTCCGGATCAGCTTCTGGATGTTGGGTCAAAAGCTTCAGGCTGTTCGACGACATCGACAGCATTGAGGACAGAGAATTTCCAAAGCTTTCGTTTGAAAAAGACTCGCTCAGGCTCATGACCCTGGCCTGCTTAATATTCCTTAGCTCGTCCATTTGAAGCTCAGTTTGGGCAAAACGCTTCCAAGCTGTCTGACTCATCGGATCTTCCAAGTGCCCTGCCGGGATCTCTGGGACAAGGTCTGGCATCAGATCAGATGGCTCATACTCAGGAGACGGGTCTGGCTCCCAATATTCTTCATCAAATTCAGGTTCACCACACCAAGGGAATCCCTCTGACCCTTCAGCATTAACATCGGCAGGACCTAACGGATGCTCGGATGCAAGATCTAACGGATGCTCTGACGTGGGTTCTGTACACTCACGAGGAGGACCTAACGGATGCAACTGGGACGTCTCACCGTCTCTCGTGGACGTACTTGATCGGGGACCATCCTGACGGGTTGCATGGTGAACACACTTTGGCTACGGTGGCCACTACATGTGAATGTCATCTCACTCGTGAACATCGCACGTATCTCACCCGCCTGAGAACCACGATGCTCACCTACCTGAAGCTTCCGCTCACAACCGTGGATGAACAGATCTTCTAACGCCCCTAGGTTAAAAGATCACCATGTGGTCTGAGAATGATACTGGGCTCGGAGGCTTGTGCCTGTCGCCCCGCCTTGCACTTCTGGTGGCCTCACATGACTCTGCTGTCAATTTCCATGCCAGTACTCTGATGTACGGCTACCCATGAGGTCCTCACCAACTCTTCAGGATCGACCTGGTCACGTCCTCCACCTGTCTGGAGCTCTGTTACTGCCTCCCAGGTGCGACTCAGCCATCAATTACTCTCTTGACTCAGATGTCAAGGGATCATCAAATGATGGAACTGAAATCACTCGTGTTCACATGAGTCAAGCCTCTGGTGGCCCTTCTTCAACCTCCACAAACCATCACTCACAACCATACAGACTAGCTCTGACCGACTCTGATGTCTGACAAGAACAACAGTGTCTGTGGTTCCCCTAAATCAAAAGACAATCAACCGTTGAGGCCCAAACTCCTTCGAGTTCAGCCTAATGGAAGTAGAATCAAATGTTCAATTGACTCTGCTGTCAATTCAATCTGACTGTCAAAGTTTTCAATCAACCTCGCGACTCGGATGTCTCTGATTTGAGGTCACGGCAGAAGCCACCTCGGCCTGAACGGACAACGGTTCACATACTTGATTCCTATATTACCTTCCACAGTCATTCAGATTTAAAGAATCACTGTTAAAAACACTGTCCATTCCACTTTCCATGTCGTATACAGTCATTCCCTGGGTCTTGTTGAGGTTCGGACATTCCCCCTAGATTTCGGACCCCATCGCGACCGGCCATATGACATGTCAAAACTAAAGCCAAGGAAAAGGAATGAAGGACAGATGTGAAATGCTTTGGCTGACAGTGTAAGAGATTAAATGTTAAATCTCTGAATGCAAATGTGGATGAATCGGTTTTCATCACGGTTGGAAATGGAGATTGACCTGTCTGGCGTTCTTGAAAAACAGGGATGCTTTGCATCGCGTGTAAAAAGGGCCTCTGTAGCCGTAGCCAAAAACATCGGCTCTTAGGAAAAATTCCTCTCTGTCAAATCGTGACCTGGAGGGCGTTGAAGTAGATGATGACTAGTACCACCCGATGGACGAACTGGATGCAGCACCTTTGCCCTTGCCCTTCGGAGGATCATCCGGCTCATAGTAGCGCTGCCTCTTTGCACGACGAATTTCCAGCGGGGTCATATCACGAAGAAATGCCCAGCTCTGTGTCCGCATCTCGTTCAAGGCTTCCGCCTCACTGAGTCCAGTCATTTGAAAGTACTCGACACCAATCTGCATGGCGGCTGAGATCTGGGACTGGAAATTGTGCTGCAAATGCGGCGGCAACTTCTGAAAGGTCTTGATGATGTCAAAGGGCATGGCCTCTGGGTGAGGTGCCGGACCGTCTGATCCAGGTGTGCCTGGAAGCCCTGCTGTGAGAGGAGGTCCCATTGTCACTTCAGCCTCTGTTGGCTCTGTTGCCATGGGAAGATCTGCATCATCAGCTGCAGCAGATTCTTCATT